TGCTCTAGTTCCTAACTCACCCTGAGGTGGTAAATGCAAGTTCCTTTGCCTCTTGTTTTCAGGCTTTTTATTTATTTATTTATTTATTTATTTATTTATTTATTTTTTAAACCAATCTTTATTGTTCATATTATTACAAAGGTTCCTCATTTCTTCCCCCCTCCACCAGGTTCCCACCCCACCCTCTGCCCCCTCCCCATCCCCCATTGTCCTCATCCATAGGTGCAGTTTATGTTCAGTCTCTTCTTCCCTCCCTTTCCCCAATAGTAAATCCCTTTTCAGATAGTAAATCAGTTACTTAGCATTTTCTCATATCAATAATACCTCCACATGCCCAATGATACACTTCACACAAAAGACATTTCCCAATAGGTCCACCAGCCTCATCCAGGCCCCACCCAAGGCACTCACAGATCAACACCCCAGTCCTAAACTAACTTAACACATCCAGATCTAAGCCTTCATCACTTGATTCAGCAGACCCTCAAGTTCCCACGAAAGTTTCCAGCCATGTCTGAGAAGCAGCCGTGGGGCAGGGGCAGGCAAGGGGTGAGCTGTTCTGGGCCTGGCTGCTCAGGGCCTGGCCTCTGTTGCTCTGGTTCATTCCACAACCAGCTGCTCCGGGTCTGGTCACTGCTGCTCCCGACCTAGTTGCTCTGGACTTGGCTGCTGCTGTTCCGGGCCTGGCCGCTCCCAGCCTGGCAGCCGCTGCTCCGGGCCTGGCCGCACCCGACCTGGCTGCTCCCCCGGGCCTGGCTGCTCCCCAGGCTTTTTATTTTTATTTTTTTAAAATATATTTTATTGATTTTTTTTTTAGAGAGGAAGAGAGAGGGATAGAGAATTAAAAACATCGATGAGAGAGAATCATCCATCAGCTGCCTCCTGCACACCCCTTACTGGGGATGTGCCTGCAACCAAGGTACATGCCCTTGACCGGAATCGAACCTGGGACCCTTGGGTCCAGGCCGACGTTCTATCCACTGAGCCAAACCAGTCTCGGCTTGTTTAGGCTTTTTTTAAAAAAAAATATTTTTAATTGATTTTTTACAGAGAGGGAGAGAGAGAGATAGAAACATCGATGAGAGAGAAACATTAATCAGCTGGTTCCTGCACACCACCCACTGGGGATGTGCCTGCAACCAAGGTATATGCCCTTGGCTGGAATCGAACCTGGGACCCTTCAGTCCGCAGGCTGACGCTCTATCCACTGAGCCAAAAACGGTCAGGGCTTGTTCTCAGTTTTTATTTCTGAGAGTTTTCCTTCTCAACCAACACCCTCACTGTAGGTTTTGGGCTCCCTGTGGGAAATAACTGTGCCTGAGCTCTGCTTGGCATGTATAATGGTAAAGAACATTTTAATGCTTTTTAAAACTGATTTCAGAGAGAGGACGGGAGAGAGATAGACACATCAATGATGAGAGAGAATCATCAATTGGCTGCCTCCTGCAAGCCCCCATACTAAGGATTGAGCCAAAAACCCTGGGCATGTGCCCTGATCAGGAATCCAACAGTGACCTCCTAGTTCATGGGTCCATGCTCAACTTCTGAATCATACTGGCCAGGCAGGACTAATATCTATTAAACATTTTTTATGTGCCAAGTACTGTAAGAAGCTTTTACATGGTCATCTCACTCTTTAGATGTTCCTTAGTGGTCCTTACTGTTATGTCCCCTTTTTAGAGAAAGGAAATTGAGGCACAGAGGTAAAATAAGTTGCCCACGATACATGGCTGGTAATCGGAAAGAGTTGGGATTCAGGCAGTGTGACTCCAGAGCCCCTACTCTTAACCACTATGCTGGAAACATTTTAAAAAATATATATTTAAAAAATATAAATATGGTTTGGCTCAGTGGTTAGAGTGTCGGCCTATGGACTGAAAGGTCCTGGGTTTGATTCCAGTCAAGGGCATGTATAATACCTTGGTTTCGGGCACATCCCCAGTAGGGGGTGTGCAAGAGGCAGCTGATGATGATTCTCTCTCATTGATGTTTCTAACTCTCTATCCCTCTCCCTTCCTCTCTGTAAAAAAATCAATATACAGAGAGGAAGAGAGAGGAATAAAGAGTTAGAAACATAGATGAGACAGAAGCTATGATCAGCTGCCTCCTGCACACCTCCTACTGGGGATGTGCTGGCAACCAAGGTACATGCCCTTGAATGGAATCGAACCCGGGACCTTTAAGTCCACAGGCCGACGCTCTATTCACTGAGCCACCGATTAGGGCTTTGCTGGAAACATGTTAGTATTGGTTGAATATATTAAAAGAGCTCTATTACCCATTTTCATCCCCATGACAGCCCTTTCCTTTTTTCTCTAAAACGTCCCTTGCTTACCTCAGTGCTCTATGTTCCCTAGAACAAATTCTCAACTATTCCTTGATTTAAAAAAATATTTTATATATATATATTTTTTATTGATTTTTAAAAATATATTTTATTGATTTTGTACAGAGAGGAAGGGAGAGAGACAGAGAGTTAGAAACATCAATGAGAAAGAGTCATCAATCAGCTGCCTCCTGCACACCCCCTACTGGGGATATGCCCGCAACCAAGGTACATGCCCTTGACCGGAATCGACCCCGGGACCCTTCAGTCCCCAAGCCGACGCTCTATCCACTGAGCCAGTTTCGGCTATTCCTTGAATTTTTAAAAAATTAGGTTATAAGATCTTTTTTCTTTTTAAATATATTTTATTGATTTTACAGAGAAAAAGGAAGAGGGATAGAGTTAGAAACATTGATGCTCTATCCACTGAGCCAAACTGGTTAGGGCTATTCCTTGCAATTTACAATAGTTCTGTAACTGTCCTTCATTGGGCCAGTGTGTGGTTGTTGTTTTTTTTTTTTTTTTTTAAATTGATTATGGTCTCACATAATTGTCCTTATTCCCCCATTCCCATCCCAAACCCCTCCCTAGATATGACTCCCCCCCGCCCCCCAAACTCCGTTGTCCATGGCCACTGGCTAGGCCCATATGTATGCACACAAGCCCTTTGGTTGTGTTGTTTTTTTACTTATTATTTTTTAATGGATTGATTGATTTTAGAGAGACGGGAGAAAAACATCAATATGTTGTTCCACTTATTTATAAATCCATTGCTTGCTTCTTATTTTTAAAGAAAAAAACCCATATTTTACTGATTTTTTACAGAAAGGGAAGGAGAGGGGCTAGAGAGTGAGAAACATCAGTCACCTGACTCCTGCACAGTCCCACTGGGGATGTGCCCACAACCAAGGTACATGCTCTTGACTGGAATTGAACCTCAGACTCTTCAGTCCACAGGCAACGCTCTATCCACTGAGCCAAACCAGTCAGGGCCATTGCTTGATTCTTATAAGAGCCCTGACTGGGGACTGAATTCATACCTTGATTGATTCTTGTATATTCCCTGACTGGGTATTGAACCTAAAACCTTGGCACATCTGGAGGATACTCCAACCAACTGAACTACCTGGCCAGGGTCTGGGCAGTGGTTTTTAAACTTTGCATCTTAGAGCCGGTGGAGAATTTTATTGATGAAAGCTATGGATTAACATATACATACACAAAAATTTAGTGTACAATGGGGAGAGACAAAGAGCACAGACCATCTTAAAACCATCCATGAATCTTGAGGTTCCCTTTCTATTATTTGCGGTGGTGGTGGGAGTGTGCAGATTTACTAGACAAGATTTACCTTTCTGTCTTTATCCCCATCACACTCTAAGTTTAGGGTTTAAGCAAACAGGGTACCCACTTTCCATCTTTATAGACATCTGCTTTTGAACCTCTTGCTTCTTGGAATAATCTTCCCGTACATGCTTACCTGACTCACTTTTTTTTTTTTTTTTTTACCGGAATGATACTTCTCAGATGCTTTCCCTGGCACCTCAACCCCCCAACCTCCGAGAAACCCTTTAACCTGTGTGCAATCTATTCAAAACCTACTACCATAGCAATGAGTTACTGAGGAGCCTGCCTCTCTCCACTCACCGTTGTGCTCCATCAGATCAGGGATGTTATGTCATTCATTGTATTCCCAATATGTAGTGTTGTGCCCAAGTGTCATAAACCCCAAAGACTACCAGGGAGCCGAATCCGATGCAATTGCAGTAAGCCTGTATTTATTTCGGACTAGTCCGAGCCCAGTCTCACCCACACCAACGAGGGCATGGGCGAGAAAGAGGAAGAACTTAACATATCAATGGGTTTTATAGGGAGGGTGGTGCTGCTACCTTGGCTGACCTGATTGGTTGGGTTAGGCCTAGGGTCCAGTTACCTGGAGCTGGACCCGCCCCACCCTGCCCTCTCACCCCACCTGCCCTCTCACCCCACCTGCCCTCTCGCCCCGCCTGCCCCCTCACCCCGCCCTGCCCTCTCAGTAGTAGAGCCTCACAACGTTTATTTGTTTGGGGGAACTGGGGTCTTACTCTGCGACCTGCAAGTTCACTACTGATTTGGAGACTAACATGCTCAGGAGAGACCTGAGCGACCAAAGGCAGACACGTGGGAAATCAGCCAGAAAAAGTGAGCCTGAGGATAAGGTTTGGGAGTAGAAACACTGAGCACCTGTGCAGACACCGGGTGAGTAACGCTCACGACAAAAGTCAGGGTCAGGAGAAAGGAAGCCGCGCACTGTATGCTGGGATCTGAAAGACAGACGCCGAAAGGCTTGCTGGGATTTGTAGTCCTGTTCCTTGTTAGGCGCCTCAGTCACATTCAGCCATGTCCTTAAACAGATGAGGTGCAGTCTTGATTATCCAGCACATAATTACGAGGTTCTCCAGGGCAACTATGTCTGGAAATAGTCTTCAGAGAAAAATCTCATTTCAGCTTTGGCTACCAAGAAGAAGACGCATTAGATACGGCTCTACGTGCGCACGCTTCAATTCCTGCGTGCGCGTTGCAGTAGGTCGCGCCTCCTCTCCCTCCCGGGTGCGCCGGCGCAGCGCATGCGCGAGTTGTCCACGTGAGGCCCTCCTAAAGCCGGGTGGCGCAGGCGTAGTGTCCCCGGGCCAAGATGGCGGCGCGGTGCTCCACACGCTGGTTGCTGGTGGCTGTGGGAACCCCGCGGCCGCCGGCTGCAGCGGGGACGGGGGCCCGGCCGCCCAGGGCGGGCGTAGTGGGGGCGTCGCTGGGCCGCAAGCTGAGCGTTGCTGCTTTCGCTCCTTCCCTGGGAACTCGCGGCCAAGGGGCGCTGCTGACATTGAGACCCGGTGTCAGCCTCACAGGTGAGGGCAGGCTCCGGCGCCCGAGCAGGGGCTCCAAGGCCTGGAAGGGAGTGACTCTCACCTCGCTCCAGTTACGGGAGTAGCGGGGTGAAGGGTGATGAACTGATGCGTATGTGGAATTGCTTGGGGGGACGGGCAAGCAGGAGGCCCCAGTGACTGACTACTCGGTGAACGAGATTTGCTGCCGGGAGTTCCCGGCGGCGAGGGTGAAACGTCCCGTAGGCCATGAACCTTCACCTCAGTGTCAACATTTTGGAGGCCTCTTTCCTGCCTGCCGCTGCGCCCTGTCCCCGTTCCTTTCTCTCCCTGCACCTTCTAGCCTGTAGCGGAAGGAGGAGGTCCCTGCCCTTCGGTGAGCATCTCCTCTAGTGCTAGGCAGGCACTTCGAGAAACCTCATCTTACTTCACAGGAACAGCACCCTGCAAGGTGGGAACTACTGTCATCCCTGTCTTAAAGAAAGGGAAATTGAAATTCCAGCTGAGGAACTGACTTGCCCAAGGTCATAAAGTTAGATTAAGAAAAGTTGTCCCAAGCCCAGAACTGTACTTTCATAGTTTCTACGCTTTCCACCACCTGGTATAAGTTGAAGGTTAACACTGAACAGTCTCTTTTAGAAGTCCTTAAGTTGGTAACTGTATTTAAAAAAAAAAAAAAATTAAAACGTTTATTGAGCACTTACTATGCACCAAGCATGAACATTTCCATGTGATAGACACTTGTTATTTACATTTTGTAGATTAAAAACAAAACAAAACAAAATTTAGGCTTGGATGTTAAACAACTTGCAGAATGTCATAAAGCTAAAAAGTGGTAAAACTTTGATTCAAAGCCTGCTGCTTAATAGCCTGGGGTAATAGTGAATTAATATTTATTAGTAAGGCGTTAGGTGCTTAGCCATGATAGTTTTTCATGTGTGTTGGATGGCTTGCGTTATTGTGAGAGAAGGAAGAAGGAATCATTGAACCTGAATGTGCCTGCATTGTGCTAGTTGTTTCTGTGCCCTGGAATTGTGTAAATGACATTTAAGCTATCTGTAACCTTACAATGGTGGTTAGAGGGCCCCGACAAGATAATCTCCTGTTGGGTTCCAGTTTTGTTAATGCTGTCATTCAACTATTAGTAATTGTAATTACTTCATACAGTGAGCACACTCACTTCACCTGTGTGTGTGTGTGTGTGTGTGTGTGTGTGTGTATGAATTTAATCCCTTTGAGTCTCTTTCCTTACCTGAAAATTTATTCATTTGCAGGTATGTACTGAGAGTCTGTCTTATGCCATAGCCGCTGTTTTAAGTATTGGGGATACAAGGTTGGCTGTGATTTTGATCAAGTTACCCATTTTATAATTTTGTTCTTGCCATCTGTATTGTCTCATAGATGGAGCAGTAGTCTGCCCAAGATTCCTCAGGATTTTTGGAGTGATGTCATTCTGTATTTCTCAGGATGAGTAAAAGTGGTCATTTTTATATTTTGCTAACATTTTCTAATGTCTAGCTAAATTTGTTCATATTACAACCCTAGCCAGTTTGGCTCCGTGGATAGAGCATCAGTCAGCAGCCCGAAGGGTTCTGGGTTCGATTCTGGTCAAGGGCACATACTTTGGTCGCAGGCTCTTCTTGGGCCCGGGCCCTGGTCAGGGTGCGTGCAGGAGACAACCAATCAATGTGTTTCTCTCTGTCTTTCTCTCTCTTCTTCCACTCTCTAAAAAAAATCAATGGGAAAATATCCTCAGGTAAGGATTAACAACAACAACAAATTGTTCTTATTACATTTGTACAAGTTGGGGAGCATTTTTTAAATAATATATTTTTATTTATTGAGAGAGAAGAAGGAAGAGGGAGAAAAATCAGTGATGAGAGAGAATCATCCATCAGCTGCCTCCTGCACACCCCCTACTGGGGATCCAGCCTGCAATACTGGGCTTATGCCCTGACCGGCATGTCATAGGTTGATGCTCAACCACTGAGCCACACTGGCTCGACTGGAGAGCATTTTTGATAATTGTGTGTATATGTGTGTGTGCGTGTGTGTGCGAGTGTGTGAGAGACAGAGAAGTATTAAGTGCTGAGCCTTCATGCAGCCATTACTAAGGAACTGCAGTCAGCCATCCTTTTACCAGTATCCCAAGAGAGCCCACAGCCCAAAATAGGTATGTTTTGTATCAGGTGAGAGGTGGCCTCCAAAGTGCATTCTGATACCACATCTAAAACAATCAACTTAGCTTCCAAATACTGGTCTGCGATTTCACCTCAAATCAAGTAGTACAATGAGGTGACATAGAAACACTTGATTTTTCTCCCAGGCACAGAAAGAAGGCAGTTATTTAGCAGCTAGTCAGTATGTGCCCTGGTCAGAAATCTCACACCTTTTGGTGTACAGGACAGTGCTCCAACTAACCGAGTCTAGGCTATCGCTTATCTTGCCTCCTTTCTCCATATGCTCAGCATCCTGGTTGTCTTTTATGCTCAGATTAGTTTTAAGCAATGCCCCAGTCCTCTTTGTTTGTTTTGTTTTTGAGAGCTCTTCCTCTTGCAAACCTGATCGCTTCCCTAAACACTTGCAGTGGCTTCCTACTGCCCTCAGTATAAAACCTAGACTCTCAGCCTAGCTTTTATTTCTAGGCCCCATTAATCATCGTCATTTCTAATCACCCCTCCTCTATCTATCATCCCCGCCATCACCACAAACACCATACAGAGGCTGGAGCCTCACATGCATACACGTTTCCAGTCTAGTACCTGCAGTTCCTGAGTGTTCAGGAGTGAACCACTCCCTCTAAACCAAAGGAGATCATATGATTTAGTCACCAAACAGGGCACTTTTGAAAGTCAAAGGGGATGCTGTTGCAGATAATGCCAGGACGACCAGGGTAAATCTGGGTGGATATAAACCCCTCCTTAGTCTACAGTTTAACAGCAGGAGCCTTAAAAGACCTTCCTTGAACCTCTTAGATTGGGTTGCCAGTGGGTGATTTTTACCCTCCAAGGGGTGTTTAGTAACGTCATTTTTAGTTGCCAACCATGGAGTGGGAGAAGTGGTGATGCTACTGGTAACTAGTTGGCCAGTAGTGCTACTAAACATCCTATAAATATAAACTAGGTATATTAGTTTGCTAAGGTCACCATAACAAAGTACTATAAACTGGGTGGTTTAAACAACAGAAACTTAACTTTCCTTTTTTTCCTAGTTCTGGAAGCTAGAAGCCCAAGGTCAGTGTTTTGTCAGGATTGTTTCAAAAATCCTATCACTAAATACAGTCTCCTGAGGTGCTAGAGGTTAGAACGTCAACATAGGGATTTGCAGGTGGGGCTCAAAATGGTTTTGACTAGCAAAAGGACAGCTCCTGCTTCCGTCCCCTGCTGAAACTGATCCCGTCCTCCACTGTGGGAGGCTGAGAAACCTTGGTTAGGTGATTATTTTGTGTATTTCTCACTCTGCCTGTCCTTGTTCTAATATATCTTCACACTGCCTTCCAGACTCCCCTGAGGGACTGCTGAACTTGGAGGCATTGATTTTGACTCTTTTACTCATCTTATATCCTCAGTGCCTAGTACAGTGTTAAGACTATATATATATATATATATATATATATATATATATATATATATATATAGCTGAAGCCAGTTTGGCTCAGTGGTAGAGCGTTGGTCTGCGGACTGAAAGCTCCCAGGTTCGATTCCGGTCAAGGGCATGTACATTGGTTGCGGGCACACCCCCGGGTGTGCAAGAGGCAGCTGGTCGATGTTTCTTTCTCATCGACGTTTCTAGCTCTCTATCTCTCTCCCTTTCTCTCTGTTAAAAATCAATAAAATATATTTAAAAGAAAATACAAAAAAACAACTCACAAAAAATATATATATTTTTAAAAAAATATATATTTTATTGATTTTTTACAGAGAGGAAGGGAGAGAGAGAGCTAGAAACGTCAATGAGAGAGAAACATCGACCAGCTGCCTCCTGCACACCCCCTACCGGGGATGTGCCCGCAACCAAGGTACATACATGCCCCTGCCCGGAATCAAACCTGGGACCTTTCAGTTCGCAGACCGATGCTCTACCATTGAGCCAAACCGGCCTCGGCCAGTGTTAAGATCTTGAGTAAATGTAAGCTCCAGGAGGGCAGTGCCTTTGAATGGCTTGCTGTCATATCCCCAGTGTGAAGCCTAGTGCTTGGTAGGGGCTCAGTGAGCATTTGCTGAATGAATAAATTGTGAATACAGAAGCTTATCCTCTCCAGACTAACGTTTGACTTAAAAACATGTAGCTGCCTCATGATCCTCATTTTTGACCCTCTTATTCCTTCTGCCTTAACACCCCCTGCTTTCTTCCAGTTGTCACAGGATGGGTTGGGGGAGAGGAGGCTTCACTTTGTGACAGCAATGTTAGCATTCTGCTTCATGCACAAGGGGCAGTCGAGTAGATGTGTGTGTTGGCCTTTCCACCTCGCTGCTGATGCAAGAGGCTGCAAAGAGGCAGGGCATATGGCCACCTGCCTTTGCTTTGATTCCTTTCAGGTTGTCTGCCTGTGGTAAACAGAGGTTCTGGCACAGGGCTTCTTAGTCTGGTGTGCCTATACATGTATTATTTTTAGGGAGGAAGTCAATGCTTTTATTAGATTCTCTGAGAGATGTGTGATTCTAAAGACTACTGAGAACCGTTTAATTAACACAGTGGTTCCCAAACTTGAGCATTCTCAGGATCATCACCTGGAGGGCTTGTAGAACACAACCTGCTGGGAGCCACCTTCAGAATTTCTGATTTAGGATAGCGGCGGGGAGGGGGCCTGAAAATGTGTAATAGGCTGATGCTGCTGTTTCTGGGACCACACTCTGGCACCACCCTATCCTGTGAGCACAGCCAAGGTTGCTTGGTAGAGGGAAAGAACCTGAGGAGTTATTAAGCATTACGTGGGATGAAGTCTATGAAAATACCTGGCATGTGGGGGTTCTCAAGCAGTGTAATGGGGGTTAACTCCCTTTTTAATCATCTCCAGGTGCAGCTTCCATCTAGGATACAGTTTGTTTTATGGTTTAATGAGCTGCATTGGTAGTTTAATCCAGCAGGATCAGCCCCACCCAGTATTATATTCTTTGTATACAGTGGCCTTATCCATTTAAAAAATATATTTTTGATTTCAGAGAGGAAGGGAGAAAAAGAGAGAGAAAGAAACATCAATTATGAGAGAGAATCATTGATCGGCTGCTTTCTGTACGCCCAACAGTGGGGATTGAGCCCGCAACCCTGGCATGTGTCCTGATCAGGAATCTAACCATGACCTTCTGGTTCATAGATCGATGCTCAACCACTGAGCTACATCAGCTGTGTTGCCCTTCGCCATATATATATATAATTTATTTCAGAGAGGAAGGGGGGGGGGAAGAGAGAGAGAGAGAGAGAGAGAGAGAGAGAGAGAGAGAGAGAGAGAAAGAGGGAGAGGAGAGGGAGAGGGAGAGGGAGAGGGAGAGGGAGAGGGAGAGAGAGAAAAGCATCAGTGATGAGAGAGAATCATTGATTGGCTGCCTCCTGTACGCCCCACACTGGGCATGTGCCCTGACTGAAATTGAACTGTGACCTCCTGGTTCATAGATTAACGCTCAACCATTGAGCCACACCAGCCAGGCACCTTAGCCATTTTTGAAGTGCAGTGGAGAACAGCTCTAAAGTTGTGATCTATTTGTTACTTCACAGGTATAACCTGGGTAGTTTACTCACAATTTCCTTTTGTTGAGCATATTCCCAAGTGATTTTCTTTTCTTTTTTCTTTTTTAGGAGTAAAAAGTTACCCTTTTGTTTGTACTGCCTCTTTCCACACGAGTACCCCTCTGGCCAAAGAGGATTATTACCAGATATTAGGAGTGCCCCGAAATGCCAGCCAGAAAGAGATCAAGAAAGCCTATTACCAGGTCTGTATGAAAGCCAGATTTTAGAGACAAGATTGTAGAAGGAATGTTATTGATTAGTTTGATACTGATTAGTGCCATGTGTATACGCCCATATGAATAGAACACAGGTTTAATATATTTAGAATTGTATAATCATCATCACAATCAATTTTAGAACATTTTCAACAACTTAAAAAGAAACCCCATACTATTAGCACTTAGACCCCATTCTTTCTCCTCTCCTTGCAGTTGCTAAACTTTCTATCTCTATGTATTTGCCCAGATTTAGTTGGACATCTCTCTTACAATCTGGGACCGCTGGCTCCTAACCACTCACCTGCCGGCCTGCTTACTCCCAACCCTCCCCCCTTCCCCCTGGCCTGCTTGCCCCCAACTGTCCCCCATGCCAGCCTGCTCACCCTCAACTGCCCCTCACCACCAGCCTGCTTGCCCCCAACTGCCCTCTCCTGCTGGCCTGATTGTACCTAACCGCCTCTGCCTTGGGCCACCATGGCTTTGTCCCAGAGAACGAAAGAACGCCGGAAGTTCTCCCAGTCTAATTTGCATATTGCCCTTTTATTAGTATAGACCAGTGGTTGGCAAACTGCGGCTCTCGAGCAGCATGCAGCTCTTTGGCCCCTTGAGTGTGGCTCTTCCACAAAATACCACGGCCTGGGCGAGTCTATTTTGAAGAAGTGGCGTTAGAAGAAATTTAAGTTTAAAAAAATTGGCTCTCAAAAGAAATTTCAATTGTAGTGTTGATATTTGGCTCTGTTGACTAATGAGTTTGCTGACCACTGGTATAGACAAATGAATAGAATTCCTGGATCAAATGATAACTCGGTATTTAACCTTTTAAGGAACTATTAGACTATTTTCCAAAGTAGCTGCACCATTTTACATTCCCACCAGCAGTGTATAAGGCTTCCAATTTCTCCACATCTTGGCCAACACTATCTTTTTTATGCTAGCCACCTTTGTGGGTGTGAAGTGGTGTCTCAGTGTGGTTTTTGATTTGCTTTTTCGTGATGGCTAATGACGTTAAGCATCTTTTCATGTGATTACCAGCCATTTGTTGTAAATATTATTCATACCCTTTGCTCATTTTTCTGAATTAATTTTTTTTTAAAAATATATTTTATTGATTTTGTACAGAGAGGAAGGGAGAGAGAGAGAGAGAGCTAGAAACATTGATGAGAGAGAGTCATCGATCAGCTGCCTCTTGTACACCCCCAACTGGGGTTATGCCCGCAGCCAAGGTACATGCCCTTGACCGGAATCGAACCCGGGTCCCTTCAGTCCCCAAGCCGACGCTCTATCCATTGAGCCAAACTGGTCTCGGCAAAACTGGAAGTTTTTAAAGATGTTTTTATAGAGCAATTACTGGACTCATCTTTTTTTTTTTTTTAAATATATTTTTATTGATTTCAGAGAGTAAGGGAGAGAAAGAGACAGATAGGAACATCAATGATGAGAGAGAAGCACCATTTGGCTGTCACCTGCATGAACCCCACTGGGAACTGAGCTGCAACCTAGGCATGTGCCCTTGACTGGAATCGAATCCAGGACCCTTCCAATTCACAGGCCAACACTCATTGTCTATTGAACCAAACTGGCTAGGGCTCAGATAATTTTTAAAAACATATTTTTAATGATTTCAGAGAGCAAGGGAGAAGGGGGGAGAGAGAGAGAGAGAGAGAGAGAGAGAGAGAGAGAGAGAGAGAGAGAGAGACATTAACGATGAGAGAGAATAGTTGATCTGCTGCCTCCTGTACATCCCCCACTGAGGATTGAGCCCCCAACCTGGGTATGTGCCTTGACCAAGAATCAAACTAGTGATCTCTTGGCTTATAGGTCGACACTCAATCTCTGAGCCATACCTGGCCAGGCTGGACTCAGATCTTGATAAATCCTAATGGCAAGAGGCTTAGTGAGATAGGACACAGATCCAAGGCCACACAGTAATATGTGGCATATGTGAGACTAACGTATAGATCTTTCTGATTTTAAAAGGCCTCTTTGCTCCTTGTGTGAGTCTCATGCTTTAGCATATCTTGTCTTGGAGTTTGGGACCTGCCAGTAGATAGATATATCCTGCCTTGGAGTTGGAACTAGACTTGCCTTGTAGCCTGGCCATTCTTGGGACCCCTTCCCCCCACCCCAAACCCCTTAGTGCTTAGCTCACAGCCTCTGACATGCATCCCTATGCTGGTGTGGGGACCAGCATCTCCAGAAGCAGATTAAGCAGCCAGCTGCTGGCAATGACGGAGCCAGACAGCCTCCTCAGACACTGTCAGCTTTAGGATTCTGTTTCTGTGCACCTCCTTGCCATCACATAAGGGACCTGTGGTAATCCAAACTTGGAAGGCCCGGAGTCTAGCAAACAGTGGTGAACACCTACAAAGCACACACTACTCAGCACAGCCAGAAGGTAACCTTCGCTTTCGAGCTGCTCGGCACACCTATATGCTCTGGGACAGCCAAGTGAGATTTAGTGTTTTGTTTTGTTTTTAAAATTTAATTTAATTCAAGAATTTTAAAGCCATGACATTTATTGCATGACTAATCATTGAAATTCTTAAGATGAACTGGATGCAGCAACTTCTGCCCTCCTGGTTTAGGTGTCGTTCCTTCACGGAATCCATGCCTGAATCTAAGGTACACAGTTTTTAGGTGCCTCATGTGACCAGTTCTGGCAGTGTTTCGTCAGTTAGCCTTGGCATCCAGTATACTTCCTCTTGCATTGGCGGGATAGCCACACTTGCCACAGGTGGACTTCTACAGGTGGAGGCGTCGAGCCTCTGTGGTGGCACAGTGTGTGCGTCTTGTTGCAATGCTTGCGGAATGATGACGTCCTCTTCGTCATCTTGCTTCTGCTGCTAAGACCAAAGAGCAAGACCTGGTTTTGTTTTTAATATTTAAATGTATGTTTTGAATATATTCCTCTTATTCAGAATTCAAAAAGTACAAGGTACGTAGTAAACATTGAAGTCTTCTTTTCTATTCATCCATATTCCTCCTGTAGCAGTGTTACCAGTTTAATTGTATGTTCTTCCAAAAATCTGTTCATCCAGTCGTTTTCCTCTCTTTTTGACATAGATGAAAGTGTACCAGATACACTATTCTGCATCTTTCACAAAAATGTTCAAGTTCTAAATGATTAGTTATTTTTGGTAGAGATTTGTTGTAGTTGAAAAATGTATACATACCTCAGATTTGAAGACATAGTTTATTTTGTTGTCTTAAATCTTGTATTGTTGCTATTTGTAAAGTTTTAGAGAGACAACTACTATGGAGACGAAGTTGTGACAGGTATTTGGGACTCAGTTTTAGTAATCATTTTGTATTCACAGTAATTTATCATTTCCTCCCATAGCTTGCCAAGAAATATCACCCAGACACAAATAAGGATGATCCCAAAGCCAAGGAGAAGTTTTCCCAGCTGGCAGAAGCCTATGAGGTAACTTGAACCATTGGTGTGTGCAGTCACTGTAATTTAGCTGCATGTATGCTTCAGAGTGTGCTGTACAGAGCAACCTGATGTGTCCTAAGTTCCCGTATGAAGGCTTTGTCCCTGCACCAGCTCATCTTGTTAAAGAAAAAAGAGATTCCCAGGTCTCACGCTAGATCTAACTTGGAATCTCAACCAAAAACAAGGTTCATTCCATATTAACAAAGCTTGGACTTGTAGCTGGGTCTGGGAACACCTTGCTGGATTAATTGTGCACCTATTTGATCGTCCCTCTCCTACTTAGGGCATTGCTTTCTGGAGGGAATGGTGGGTCCTGTAAAAGTAGAAGACCACCACAGCCCTAGAGGAATTTAAAATGTAATCTGGGACAAGAACATACATGAAACTACTGAACAATTCCGGAGTTATTTAAATGTGGACTAAGTCTTGCCCTGGCCATTGTTGCTAAGTGGTTAGAGTGTTGGCCTGAGCTCTGAAGGGTCTCAGGTTCAATTTCTAGTCAAAGGCACATACCTGGGTTGTAGGTTCAATCCCAAGGCCTAGTCGGGGCACATGGGGGAGGTAACCACTCGATGTGTCTCTCTCACATTCAAGTCTCTCCCCCCCTTCTACTTTTGCTGAAGAGCAATGAAAAAAATACCCATAGGTGAGGATTAAATAAGTAAATAAGAGTGGGCCTTCTTCCCAGATTCTGACCATGCCAAAAGAGTTCAGAATATATAGGATATCAGAATATATAGGATATATCTGCTCTTTGTGTATGTACATTGGCCCCCCAACCTTTTGAGAGTAAGTCACAGACTTTGTATCTCTTCATTCCCAAGTATTTCAATATTTTCTAAGAATAAGAACTTTCTTTCTCATAGCTATAGTATTGTCAAACTCAGAACGTTTATTGTTGATAGTGTCACTGGCTGTACTTGGTGTCTGTCCCTGGGTCTCTGAAGACCTGGGAACACCTGACTGCTGTGCTTTTCTGGAAGGTGCTGAGTGATGAAGTGAAGAGGAAGCAGTATGACGCCTACGGCTCCACTGGCTTTGACCCCGGGGCTGGCGGCTCTGGGCAGAGCTACTGGAAAGGAGGCCCCACTGTGGACCCAGAGGAGCTCTTCAGGAAGATCTTCGGGGAATTCTCATCATCTTCCTTTGGAGATTTCCAGAGTGTGTTCAGTCAGCCTCAGGAGGTAAGCTCATTTTGAAGAACATTCAAATTTTAGCTGCTAAGTGTAAACAGATTTCCTCAATTTCTGTTTCTCAAAGAAAAGGCAAAGCAGCTTAAATGGAATGGTCTGGCGGCAGCCATTTTAATAGGAAATAATTTCAAAATTTGAAAAATCATATAGGTAATGTACTATGTTGTACATCTATTTTGACTTGAGTATTGCTGTTGCTTAACCAGGCAGCACCTAAGGCTCTCAGAGTCCATTATTAGGGTATATTTTATCCAGGAGAGCTCAATCTAATAGGAAGACATTCCCAGTCCTACTTCCATATTTATGTCCTAATAAGACATTCTCAGAGTTAAGAGAAAGGGGGAATATTTATGACTTAAGTTATGATTGTGAATTATTTGAACTGTTTGTAAGAACTGTATACAAGTATTATTTGTGAACAATTTGTTAAAAAATGCATTTTTACTTAAAACAAACATTACCTCTTAAAAATCCTAAGGAGTAGGGCATAAACAGTTAAGTCCCATCTATTCTTACTTTGCAAAGTACAGATAAGTAGACAAAGTTAAGTGACTAGAGAGGGAAGAGATGAATAGGGAGAGAACAGAGGATTTTTAGGGCTGTGAAAATACTCTCTTTGATCTGTAATGATATACTGTAATGCTTGTCATTATGCATTTGTCTAGATCCATATACTAGTAATGTACAACACCAAGAGTGAGCCCTAATGTAAACTGTGGGCTTTGGGTAATTATGTGTCAGTGTAGGTTTATCCTTGATTAAACAATGTACCACTCTGGTGAGTGATGATGATGGGAGAAATTGTATATGAGTGGGGACAGGGTGTATATGGGAAATTTCTGTACCTTTCTTTCAATTTTTCTTTAAAAAAATAAAATCTTTAAAAGTAAAGTAACTGCAAACTGCTGGCTAGTACCCTCCCCTATTTTAAGAAAGATGACAGGCCATCCCTTGATTTCTCTAGTTTATCATGGATTTGACCTTCAATCAAGCTGCCAAGGGTGTCAACAAGGAGATCACTGTGAACATCACGGATACCTGTGAGCGGTGCAATGGCAAGGGGAATGAGCCTGGCACCAAGGTGCAGCATTGCCACTACTGCGGTGGCTCCGGCATGGTAAGAGCAAGTTAGAGCTGCCCCTCCCGCCACCCCCCACCTCCCAGCTACTCGGGACTCCTACCTCATGCCCATCCATACTCCCCACCATTCCTTTTCTATATGTTTCTGTGAATATTTTAAAAATGTATATATATTATTGATATTTTACAGAGAGGAAGGGAGAGAGACAGAGAGCTAGAAACGTTGATGAGGGAGAAACATCGACCAGCTGCCTCCTGCACACCCTCCATCAGGGATGTGCCCAGAACCAATGTACATGCTCCTGACCGGAATCGAACCTGGGACCCTTCAGTCCATAGACCGACACTCTACCATTGAGCCAAACCGGTTTTGGCACTGTGAATATTTTTTTGAGCAGTACCTAGGGCTTTGAGAATTCATAACTACATGGGACTGTTTTATCTAGAACCTTTTGTATTTTTCCAAGCATGCTCTGTCTTGGTCAGTAATACAGACAGAGGGAAAAAAAAAAACAACTTATCTTCTTTCTCTAAAAATATGCTTTGGGATATTTTGGTAATTTAAAAAAAACACCACCGTATTTTTATTGGTTTCAGAGAAGAAGGGAGAGGGAGAGATAGAAACATGCCTCCTGTCCCCCTATCCCCCAGAGGATTGAGCCTGCAATCCGGATATGTGTCCTGACTGGGAATTGAACCATAACCTCCTGGTTCATAGATCAATGCTTAACCACTGGGCCATGCCAGCCAAACTGATATTTTGATAATTTGAATCTAAGTTGAGGTTGTTGGGGGACACTTTGCTTTTTGTAATTTGTTGAGGTAATTCAAGTTTATAGAATAGTATAATCAAATATGAAACCCAGTTAAATGCTCTTGACTGGGAATCAAAGCCGTGACCTTCACGCTGAGACCGGTTTGGCTCAATGGATAGAGCGTCAGCTTGGGGACTGAAGGGACCTGGGTTCGATTCCGGTCAAGGGCATGTACCTTGGCTGCGGGCATATCCCCAGTAGGGGGTGTGCAAGAGGCAGCTGATCGATGACTCTCTCTCATCGATGTTTCCAGCTTTCTCTCTCTCTCCCTTCCTCTCTGTACAAAATCAATAAAATATATTTAAAAACAAACAAACAAAAAAAACCAAAGCCGTGACCTTCTGGTACACGAGCTGACACTCTAAACACTTAAATATACCATCCAGGGCATAACTTTTTTCTTATTTATTTATTTATTTATTTAAACTTTTATTTATTTCAGAGAGAAAGGAGAGGGGGAGAGAGAGAGAGAAATATCAATGATGAGAGAAAAATCATTGATTGACTACCTTCTGCACACCCCACACTGGGGATCGAGCCCACAACCTGGGCATGTGCCCTTGACCAGAATCTAACCTGGCACTCTTCAGTCCATAGGCTGACTGAGCCAAACCACCTAGGGCGTAACTTTTTTCTTTATATGTCCTTGTGTCCTTTGATTTGCACAACACGTATTTGATACACATGTTTTTGGTAATAAAAAAAAATTTCAGGGGTAGGGGAGGCTGGGGGAAGGTCAAAGATGGGGGGAAAAGATATATGTACTACTATATGTAATACTTTAAAAAATAAATAAATAAATAAATAAATAAAATGCCAAAAAAATTAAAAAATTTGAGGGTTGTTCCAAGATGGCTGACAGGTAAACACCTAGCCGCAGCCGCACACAACAATTTCAATAAAATACAACTAAAATATAAAATGGACATTACCCAGAACTACAGGAAAGTCGACTGACTGGAAATTCTACAACAAGAAGCAAGGAGAAAACCAGAAGGAAGAGCGGAGGAGCTGGAAAAGCCTAAGGTATGGAGACACGCGGCGCGGAGAGGACGGAGCCAGAGAGGAGAGGCGGCTGAGTGCTTGGCAGGCGTTCCCTAGCAGGAAGGAGATAAATGCTCCGACTGTGCTCAGCCCCAGTTCTGACTGCCCTGAACCCCAGTTCTAGGCCAGACCCCAGGGACCCAGGCTCATCCAGAGGGAGCTGGGCTGCGAGGCGGAACCCCGGGGAAGCGGTGAAAGGAGGTCCCGGCGGCGCGCACATTGCGCGCAGAGAAGGGACGGTTGGCTGTGCCGCGGAATTGCCCTTGCCGGAAGGAGACAGGGGCTCCAGACTGCTCTGAACGCCACCTCCAACTCCACTTCCAACTGAACTGAACCCCAATACCGGGCTCATTGGGGGAGAGTATAGACTGTTCGGCAGCAGGCGAAAATCGAGGGCACCTTTCTCTCAGAGGTGCTGGCAGCGAGTACTGAAGGACCCGCAAAGGGCGGGGCTGACGGAAGCCAAAGCTGCAGGCTCCACCCTGAAACCCCGCCCCATCCAAGCAGAACACAGAGACTTTTAAGGCTACCAGCTCAGGAAAGCTGCAAAAATGCCGAGATGAAATAGATCACAAACGAAAGAAATGGAGGACAAAAAGCGACTGGATATAGAGTTCAAATCTACGCTTATAAGGTTTTTCAAGAATTTCCTAGAAAAGATGGATAAGAACTATGAGGATATGAAAAGGGATCAACTAGAATTAAGGGATCAACAAGAAATGATAAGGGATCAAGAAGAAATAAAGAATACATTGACTGAAATAAAAAATATTATACAGAGTCCTAAAAACAGAATGGAAGATCGCAAGAATCAAGTCAAAGAGTTGGAACATAAAGAGCCAGAAGACACTCCTTTGCAGAAGCTAGAAGGCAAGAGAATCCAGAAAATTGAAGATAATGTAAGAAACCTCCGGGACAACTTCAAGCGAACCAACATCAGAATTATGGGGGTCCCAGAAGATGAGAGAGAGCAAGATATCGAAAACATACTGAAAGAAATAGTGACAGAAAACTTCCCCCACCTGGTGAAAGAATTAGACTTACAAGTCCAGGAAGCGCACAGAACTCCAAACAAAAGGAATCCAAAGAGGACCACACCAAGACAAATCATAATTAAAATTCCAAGAGCAAAAGACAAAGAGAGAATATTAAAAGCAGCAAGAGCAAAGCAGGTAGTTACCTATAAAGGAGCACCTATACGATTGTCAGCTGATTTCTCAACAGAAACCATGCAGGCTAGACGGGAATGGCAAGAAATATTCAAGGTGATGAATAGTAAAAACCTACAGCCAAAGATAATCTGTCCAGCAAAGCTATCACTCAGAATCGAGGGGCAGATAAAGAGCTTCACTAATAAAAAAAAAGCTAAAGGAGTTCATCATCACCAAACCAGAATTATATGAATTGCTGAAGGGGGTTCTTTCGGAAGAGAAAGTAAATAAAGATAAAAATTATGAACAACAAATACGTAACTATCAACAGTGAATCTAAAAACCAAGGAAATTTAAAAAAAAATCTGATGAACAATATTAACTGTTGAATATAATAGAATCAGAGGTATGGAAGGGGATTGAACTGACGATTCTTAGGGAAAAGGGGATAGGGGGATGTGGGAAGAGACTGAACATAAACTGTGCACCTATGGATGAGGACAATGGGGAGTGGGGAAAGGGCAGAGGATGGGGTGGGAACCTGGTGGAGGAGAGCAATGGTGTGTGTGGGGGAAAGGAACATTTGTAATAATATGAACAATAAAAATGTATTTTTAAAAAATTTAAAAATTTGAAAGCTGTTAGGTTAATTAAAATGCAAGTGAGGCTGAAACCGGTTTGACTCAGTGGTAGAGTGCCAGTCTGTGGACTGAAAGATTCCGGGTTCGATTCCAGTCAGGGGCATGTACGTTGGCTGTGGGCACATCCCGAGTAGGGGGTGTGCAAGAGGCAGCTGGTCGATGTTTCTCTCTTATCGATGTTTCTAGCTCTCTGTCTCTCTCCCTTCCTCTCTGTAAAAATCAATAAAATATATTTTTTTAATAAAATAAAATAAAATAAAATGCAAGTGAGGCCCTAACTGGTTTGTTTCAGTTGATACAGCATCGGCCTGCAGACTCAAGGGTCCCAGGTAAGATTCCAGTCAAGGACATGCACCTTGTTTGCAGGCATATCTCCAGTAGGAGGTGTGCAGGAGGCAGCTGATCGATGTTTCTCTCTCATCAATGTTTCTACCTCTCTATCCCTTTCCCTTCCTCTCTCTAAAAACTCAATAAAATATATTTTAAAAGATGCAAGTGAGGAGCTGATAGTGGCCACACATGCTAAGGCTTCACCGACTCTGGGAGGAGCTGGGGCGGCTCCTGAAGGATTGGGGGATTCTATAGGGGAAATAGGGAAAAGACATTCCGGGAGGAGGAGCCTGAGGGGCACCAGTGCCTATAAGAGGAGCTGCAGCCTCATTGCTGCCAGGTACCCATGCTAGGGGGTGGGGACAGTAGGACAGGAGCCTGGGGTGGGAGGGGTTGGTAAAGTCAGCCCAGTTCTCCGTGTATGGCCATTAGGGAGTAGACAAAATAACAGGGTCAGTGACCAGACTGGGGATTGCATTTAGTTGTCATTCTATTCTTTATTTTTCTGTTTTCCCAGCTTTCACTTTTGTAATTAGAGGAGAAATATTCTTTAAAAAATGTATTTGCTCAAGATAAATAAATATATATATATATATATATATATATATATATATATATACACACACACACACACACACACACACACACACACACACACATACATAAAGCCTAAGTGACTGTCGCCATGATGCACACTGCCAACCTCCCGCAGCCCCTACCCCTGGCCGGCCCCCATCAGTCCCTGGTGCTACACCGTTTGTAGAGACCTGCTTCTGGGTTGGGGTTTCATACATAGAAGAGCAGCTCCTTCCCTTCGATCTGTTGAAAGTCAGCCCTCCACACAAGGGTTTGGCTCGCTCTGTCCTCTCCTCTCCCTTCCCCGGGGGCTGCCTGCCATGATGACGGTGGCAGCAGATGCAGCCCCTTTCCCAGGAGGGCTGGCTCCCTCCTTGGGCCGGTTCCCTCCTCCCACTGTTGTTTCTGTCCTGTTGTCCCCACCCTCGCACAAATTACTGCATGGCGCCTGTGGTAAACAAAGAAAATAAAACACATTTGCTCAGTTCCTAGGTGTTTTGGGAACTTAGTGATTTGGAATTCAGAAGTCAATCGGTTCTAGAAGGTTAGAGGTCAGATGAACAGTTTGAGCCTGTGCACCTGCTCCTGTGTTCTCAGGCAGTATGTTTTAGTGCGTGGGCACACAGAACATGAGTTGTTGTGGGTTTCTTTTTAGAGAGAGAAGAAATAAACCACATTGATTTGTTCCACTTATTTATTTATACATTCATTGTTTCTTATATGTGCCCTGATAGGATCGAATCTGCAACCTTAACATATGGGCACAACAGTATAACCAACTGAGCTGCCTGGCCAGAGTAGAACAAGAGTCTTGCATGAAATATTTATATTGTACATCTTGTGGTCCAAAAGCCTTGGCTGTCAGAGTTTACCTGTGTACTTAAGGGTTTCATCTTTCTGCTCCTTTTTATCAGGAAACCATAAATACAGGCCCTTTTGTGATGCGCTCCACGTGTCGGAGATGCGGTGGCCGAGGCACCATCATCACAACTCCGTGTGTTATATGCAGAGGAGCAGGAGAGGCCAAGCAGAAGAAGAAAGTGGTTATCCCTGTGCCTGCAGGTGAGTTCTGGGCTCTTCCACACACAGGACTGAGAGCTGAAACGTTGTCTCCTTGTGATTTTCTCTAGAAAAAGCTAGTGTTAAGGCCCTAGAGCCCTGGGCTGGAAGAAGAATTAGGATCTCCTTGCATCTTTCTCTTTGCTCTAGTTAGCCTTAAAATCTATACTTACATGTCACTTGGGGGAGAAGGGACCTGACATGTTGACTCTTCCCCGTGCATGTGAAGGAGCTCCTTCATCTCCGTCTTTACTCCACCAGGCCAGCAGTGTCCCCATTGCTAGCCCAGTCTGCACCACCATTCCTCCTGGAAGCAGGGGCAGCTTGAGACTGCTCTCCCCATTGGCTCTTATTCCCAGGGAGCTCTTTTCACAGGACAGTCTGATCATGCCACTCACCCTGTTGAAGATCATGCAGTGACTCAGGGGCAAAGAAAAGGCTTCTTCTCTTGGCCTGTGCTGGCCTCTCTAGCCTCCGCTCTTATGAACCTTCCCCTTATTTCCTGCCCTACAGTCTTCCCAACTTTCCTCCAGCTCCTTGAACAAGACATAATGCCTCTTAGAACAGCCTTTCATATTGCTGTTCCTTGTGTCTGAAACTTGCTGTCCATCATCTTTTCAGCAGTTAACTGTTCTTTTGGGTTTCCCCCAGGGAAGCCACCTGGAACCCTTCCTGTTCCTTAGATTACATTAGTATGGAGCTGTGACACTTTCCTTCTGATAACATGGCTCTATTTGAAATAACTCATTTTAGAGTTGTTATTTGATTAATACTCATCTCTGCTACTGGACTAGACACTCCTTGAGGTATTACATGGCCCTGGTAAGAGGCAGGTGTTCAGCAAGCTTCAGTTAATAAATGGAAGTGCCTGTGTTTGGTTATGAGTTATTATATAGTGCAATGTTGAAAAGTTGGACTTGTTGCCATATTTAATAACTGGTGTTCTCGTTACCGAGAAACAGGAATGAGGAAGGCTTCCAGTGGCTTGAATCTTGAGTGGAAAATGCCATGGGAGATCTCCAAATAATCATTCTTCGTTTGAACTTTTGTTATCACTTGCAGGAGTTGAGGATGGCCAGACTGTGAGGATGCCTGTAGGAAAAAGAGAAATTTTCATCACGTTCAGGGTAGGTGCTCTGCTTGCACAGCCTCTGTTGGGCCTTACTGTTGTGGAGAAAGTTCAGCCAAGGCTTCTCATGGAGGGGTGGAGCTTCATGGGATACGTTCTGCCAACCAAGTTTCCAAGGAGAACAGTGGCCACTTGGGTGGGGTTATTAAATATGTTATCATCAATCTTTTGTGCTAGGTGTGGAGAGAATAGAGTTGCTTTAAGATATTTATTATTTGGAAACAAACATAAAAATACAGAAAACGTCTTGTGTTTTTTACTTATGTATCAAATTGTTGGAAGGGACAGTAAGTCTCAAAGTATATACAGGTTTGCCCTTGTATATACCCACGATGTATATACAAGGGAAAACCTGGTTTTCTGAGAAAAGGGAAACCTTATAAGAGAAAATGGCTTCTACTGGCAATTCCACTAGCTATATACCTGAGAAAAGCCCACACAGGTGCAGCAGGCAGAAGCACAAGATGTGTGTGATGCCTTACTTATTGTAGCATGACGCTGACAACAATCCTCTGTCCTTGGAGAATAGAATGGTGGGTGAACTGCTCTGTGGTTGCAGACAACTGAAGAGCAGTCAGAAGGAAGAAACTGGACCACATGTGTAACAAGACTTCTCAGTTACAGAGAGGAGGGAAAGAAAGGTTGCAAGAGGGTGCAAGGAAGTTAATTTATGTAACCTTTTTTTAAAAAAATATATTTTATTGATTTTATACAGAGAGGAAGGGAGAGAGTAGAGAGTTAGAAACATCGATGAGAGAGAGTCATCGATCAGCTGCCTCTTGCACACCCCCCACTGGGGATATGCCCGCAACCAAGGTACATGCCCTTGACCGGAATCGAACCCGGGACCTTTCAGTCCCCAAGCCGACGCTCTATCCACTGAGCCAAACCGGTCCTGGCAATTTATTAATTAATATAATCTTTTAAAGCACTTGATGATGTAATATAATAATGACACACAAACATGTAGTGAAAGTTAAAAGATGCTTGTAGGAATGATAAATACTAAGTTCAGCAATGTAGTTAACTCTGGAGAGGTGAGGAGGAAGCATGGAGACTTCACCTGCATTTATAACATCTTATTTGTAGTAGTATAAATTTACTTTGTACTTTATACTACAATATATAAATGTGAAATATTTCATGATTTAAAACAGACAAAACTAATCAAAAGGGTGAATATTCTAGAACAGGGGTCTGCAACCTTTAAGACATAAAGAGCCACTTGGACCCATTTCCAAAGGGAAAAAAAAACCTGGGAGCCGCAAAACCATTGCGACATTTAAAACACTGCATATATTGTTTCTTACCTTAATGCTATATACTGGATCGTGCAGTTAGCTGTCAATCTGAAGAAAAAAAAGACTTTTTCACTTAACAATGTAAAATATATTTTTGCAAATTAATAGCTAATTAAAATATTTATTTACCTGGTTAATGGGATTTTTGCTCCTGAACCCCAGTGCACAGTGTCAGAACATCAGGGCTGTAAGACGTTACCTTCATTTTCACACAGGCTTGCAAGTTGTCGGAGCTGCAGTAAAGCTTCAAAAGAGCCGCATGCGGCTCTGGAGCCGCAGGTTGCCGACACCTGTTCTAGACTGAGAAAGACAAAGACAGCAAGCTGGAAGCCAGTAGATAAGAAAAGTTTGGTAGTCTGACTGGTGTTGCTCAGTTCATGACCTCTGAACCAGAAGGTCATGGTTCAATTTGTGGTCAGGGTACATGCCCGGGTTATGGACTCGATCCCCAGTAGGGGGTGTACAGGAGGTAGCTAGCTAATTAGTGATTCTCTCATCATTGATGTTTCTTTCTCTCCCTCTCTTCCTCTCTGAAGTCAATAAAATATTTTAAATTTAAAATACACAAAAAAACCCCCAGTACTTACAAAATCAAAATAATTCTAGTGTTGACAGGCTGTCTTAAAGGTAATTTGTGCCAAATGACCATTTGGAAAACTATTTTTGCCTTTGTAGATTCATTAGTCTGTGTTCCTCTTTACCTTCTAGTAAAGTAAGATTTTTTAAATGTTCAATAAGCCAGTTTTACTTTATTTCTGTTCATACTTGAATGGCTTGATTTGAGCCTGAGGAAATCTAGGCACTCTTGCATTACAGTATAGAAATGGACCTGAGGTGTAACCTGGTATAGTGCTTCACTTTGGTGAGTGTGCTCTCGTCATGCTGCACTCCAAGCGTAGAGGCAGTGTCACTGGCCCTGAGCTCAGGCTGCTGACACAGGCTGATGTCCAGTTTCTGTGTATAATGCCCATCCCTTGTGTTTGACCCTAGGTGGAGAAAAGCCCCGTGTTCCGGAGGGACGGCGCAGACATCCACTCTGACCTCTTTATTTCCATAGCTCAGGCTCTTCTTGGGGGCACAGCCAGAGCCCAGGGCCTGTACGAGACAATCAATGTGACGGTAAGAGGCAAAATTGTCTTCACCACCCTCCTGCTTCATTGCTTCCTTTCTTTTTTCTTTTCCCTTGAAATGGAAAATGGCTGACAAGTGGCTAGAACCTATAAACAACCAACATGTCAGGGATTCAGGGGAAATGACATTTGGGGAAGACAGGAGGAGTGGCTGGTTATTCCTTGAGTTTGAGTTACAAACTCTGGGCCTTGATGGTGTCATCACCAGGGACAGCGATTCTTAAGTCCCGTTCCCTCCTTTGCTAAGCCAGGGAGCAGCTTCAGTGGTACCCTCCTGTGTTGGCTTTGCCTCCTGAGGTCAGGCTCTCTATGCGCCCTCCCTCGACTCACCTCCCCAAACACCTGTCCCTATATCCTTGTTACTGGCTCTGCTCAGGGTGGACCCCAGCTTAGCCAGTTTTCATGTTGTTCGTGGTGGGCAACTGGAGCGAGGAAAACCACAGGCTGCTTTTCTTTATAGATCCCCCCTGGTGTCCAGACAGACCAGAAGATTCGGATGAGTGGGAAAGGCATCCCTCGGATTAACAGTTATGGCTACGGAGATCACTACATTCACATCAAGATACGAGTTCCAAAGTAAGCGCCTACTTAGCCACAGCAAGGCCTGTGGGATCCCTGCACACTTTCACCATCGAGCAAGGGCCGTCTGTGTGACAGTGTGGTAGTTTAGCACCACCACGGTGCTGGGGCTTGGGCAGGCTACTTCTTTCAGTCAGTGTGTCCTGCGCAGGTTTTCCATCTGCAAAGTGGACATAATGAAAAAGGTCGATTTCCTTGAGTTGGAGAATTAAATAAATAATACATAAGGAATGCTTAGCTATTGCTGCTGTTGCTTTTATTATTGCTCTCACGGTGGTCACATTCTGGTGGGAGAAACAGATGTATAACCAGGTCATGGCACAGGGTACCCACATCCTCTGGAAGAAAGATCCAAGCAGAATGCTTGGGCATCCAGAACAGGCAGGCCGACTCTCTTTGGGAGAACTAGGTTGCCAGCACTCCTTTTAATTCCCCCCATATACATTTACAAAAGCTCCTCGGCCCACCCCAGGAAACTATTAGCACAGCCATAGTGGCAGTTGTTTGAAACACTTAGAGTATTTTAGGAGATTTTTCCCCAGAAGCTCTGAGGATGTGGTTCTTCAGGTCAGGCTGTATGCTCTATCTGGGTTGGGGGTCCCATATTTCCTAACACTGGCCTAGGCCTCGTCCTTCAAAGAGTTGCCCAGAGGAAACACTTGACACTGACTGTACTTGGTCCACAGGAGACTGACAAGCCGGCAACACAATCTGATCCTGAGCTATGCTGAGGATGAGACTGATGTGGAGGGGACAGTGAATGGCATTACCAACACAAGCACCGGTAAGGTGGACGGGCATCCTCAGTCCCTTTGAAGCATGTTGTTTCCATTTGGGGATCTTCATGGAGCCTCCAGAGCGCACAGAAGAAAGAGGGGAGCTGAGGGCTCAGGACAGCCAAGGGTAACTGCTCCAGAGCACAGCTACTCCTTCCTCTGTGTTAGTCCTGGATGGCTTCCTGCCAGGTCGCAGCCATGTGTCTCAGCTGCTCTTCGGAGTTCTATCCTTGGTTCTGCCACTTGCCTTGTGACCTTGGGCACCTCACCACAATAGAGCTTTTAACAGCTTAAGCAGAGGGATGGAAGGCTTTACCAAGCTTCCTGACCCAGAATGCTTCACCAAGATTGCAGAGTATCTAATAAACAACATCTTCCACATCAATAAAAACCATCGTCACCTGGCTCCAAATCTGCCTATTCCCAGCAGGGCTAACTTTGAATTCCTCTGGCAATGAACAGGTGCCTTATTTATCCTGAGCTCAAATGTCACGCTTGGTCTACAGGGTATAGTTAAATATTAGTGATATTTGACACCAAAATACGTTCAGGCAGACGCTCTGGTGATGGGAAACCATGGCCACAGCCCTTTTCCCATGGGAGGGGGTTGCTGTATTGTGGAGATGCTGGTTCTCTATTGATTGGATGATTGCTCGGTCAGGACAGGATGTACTGAGAATGTAATTGGCTTCAGCTGTAAACATGTTTCCTCCCTGTTGCATCATTTTGTTTCTGCCTGGCCGCTTGTGTTTTCAGAACTTGAATAGTATTAGATTAGTATATGGTCATTCAGAGCAGGTGATGGGGGCAAGGGGAGGATTTCCTAATGAAGTAGAGGGCTTCGTCTTGGATTCACTTCCCACTCCACCCAGCAGGGAGGGGTGTCCCAGCAGGAGCAGCCTTTGCATGAACTTTGCCGACATAGTCCAGGAGACCATGTCCTCTGTGAAAAAGTAGCGACCACACATCCTGTGGCCTAACCAAGCATGGATGAGATACTGTTTTTAGTGGTATGGCACATATGTATACTTTCCCCTATTTTCTCATTATACCCTTGAACAAAAAAGAAGTGGAAATAGTGGGAATACTTATTCCATGTAACATTAATGTACACTTCCAGCCTCTTCTTTTTGAATCCCAAATGTTATCACAATCACACAGCATGTGAGATTTATTCTGCTGACAGTTCTTGCCTGTCCTCTTCCTCTCTGCACCCACCCAGAACTTGGGGTCTCTTGAGCTGAGCACTGCACAAGCACATGGACCTTGTGCACTGTTATTAGAATGCTGGGTATTAGTAGTCACCAGTTGTTGCCTTTTTTAAAAATATGTTTTTATTTATTTCAGAGAAGAGGTAGAGGGAAAGAGAGAGAAACATCAATGATGAGAATCATTGATCGAATGCCTCCTGCATGCCCCCTAGTGGGGATCGAGCTCACAACCCTGGCATGTGCCCTGACTGGAAATTGAATGGAGATCTGGTTTATAGTTTGATGCTCAACTACTATATCACACTGGTTGGGCCTGTTGTTGCTTTTTAAAACCCCTTTCTGATCATTTAAATTGAGAGTTGATCATTTAGTCAGCTTTTGAGTGTTCTTAGAACCCTCCTATTTTTATGCTTTCTTGTCCTGATAGCTAACTCCCTCTTGTCTTATTCATCCAGAATTTATTGGGAGCTTCTTGTGTGTTTGATGCAGTACTTCGCCAGTTCTCCCTTTAAGATTTATATTGCCCTGGCTGGTTGATTTTTTTTTATTAAAAAACCCATAACCCATAACCCATAACCTTGGCCTATCAGGACAATTCTTTTATCAAATGAGTTATCTCGCCAAGGCATAAATGGTATTTAAGAACCTTAGAATTGGCCCTCACCGGTTGGCTCAGTAGATAGAACATTGGCCTGCGGTCTGAGGGGTCCCGGGTTCGGTTCTAGTCAAGGGCATGTACCTTGGTTATGGGCACATCCGCAGTAGGGGGTATACAGGAGGCAGCTGATCGATGTTTCTCTCTCACCGATGTTTCGAACTCTATCCTTCTCCCTTTCTCTCTGTAAAACAATTTAAAAAAAAAACACACATAAAATGTTGAGTACAGGTCTGTAATCTAACTCATAACAAAACTTTGCCCTCCCTACCTAATGGTTGGCAGATCTTTAAAATGATGCATTTGTATAGCAGAGTTAGTCCCGTTAGTCTCAGCTTGGGCCCTAAAGAAACAGGGAGCAATCTTCCTTTTTCTGGAGCATTTAGGGTTAGATGTCCCAGATGGGGAGATCGTGCCCAGTAACATACAGGGTCCTCCACTGCTGTCGTTACAGATAAGAAGTACATATGTCCTGGGGTTCTGAAAGGCAGTGAATCCTTCCCTGAGTATCCCACAGTCACGTATATGTGAGGGTATGAAAGCTGGTCGGTTGGTCTTGGATTGATCCTCACTTTCTTAGTCGGTAGCATGGTAGTTAAGACCTAGGTTTGGAGTTCGACAGCTTGGGTTTGAACTCCCATTTACTTTGTGATCTTAGGCAAACATCTAATCTCTCTGTGACCCATTTATTTTATTTATTTTATTTTTTATTTTGTGTGTGTGTGTGTTTTCCTTCTGAAACTTGCCGATAAGGTTATCCCTAAGGATTAAATGAGCTAATGTTGAAACTTTGTGGCCTGGCCAGGAAGGCATTTGGTGCTGGGCTATATTCTTGTTACAGTTGTTAAGATGGAGATATCTGGTGATTGTCTGGCTGTTTTTTATTTCCTTCCTTTGGGCCAGTGACTCAGGTAGCAGTTGGGATACAATAAAGTGCCTGTTTGCTTCGTCATCTGCCCCCTCTCCTCTGGTGGCTTCCTGATTGTTGAGATCTTGGGTGACCAGGTGGGGGTAGGTGGGGATGGGACGCCTGGTGGTGTGCGCCCTTGACCCCAGTTTTTTCTGCTGTTTGTGCCCAGGTGGCAGCACCATGGATAGCTCCGCAGGAGGCAAGGCTAGGCCTGAGGCTGGGGACAAGGAGGGATTCCTTTCCAAACTTAAGAAAATGTTTACCTCCTGATACCTAGCCGAGGTAGGAAAACCCTTGAGGTTTCTCCCCTTTGTTTTCCTCTGTTAACTAATCCCTGTTTTCCCATACTTTAACCAATTTCAGCCCCCTTTTGCCCCAGGAGTTGGAAGAGGTACCAGGCTCAGGCATGGTGTATCTAGCGCCCCTTGGAGCCAAGCTTCTTGGCCCACAGAGACACCTGCATTAGGTAATATGGCAGAGTCAGTGGCAGTGCAGGGCTGAAGCAGACCATAGGGAGAGGCTGCACTGGGGGCTGCCTCTCAGCCCTCCCTCCACCAGCTCCTAGGGGGCTGCATCCCACAGTGGTGGGAATCATGTTGCCCACAGTCACAGAGGGTGAGCCATAGCAGAGCCAGGCTTAGAACTCAGATCTCCCCAACTCCCTGCCTGTTTCACAGCGCCTGTTCTGCCTGGGGATGTAGGGCACCAAGTAACCTCCAGGGCTGCCGGGAGTTGTGCTTGGTAACTGGGTTCTTGGGACCAACGTTATACTTGTGTGGGTTCCTGATGGCTGTGGCTCCTGGCATAGCTCCTTCCCAGGGACGATAGAAGCTCACCCACAGGAGTTTGCTGTTCTTGCAATGCCAGTAAACTGTAACCATTTGTGTCTTGGCTCAGGAAAACGGTCCACTGGAAACTAGGCTGGGAGCCGCAGCTCCTCTTCATGGCCTGGGCACCTTGGAGGCAGGAGGATTCCAGAACTGCAGCACCGAGCCCTGCCAGCAGAGGCCCTCTGGACCGCCTTGGCAACAGCAAAATCATGTGACAACAGGCCTCTCCACAGAATGGTCATGGTGGACAGCCCCTGGGCAGTAAGGCATGGCATGCCTAAGGGCTGGTAGAAGTTCTTGTTCCATGCTTGTAACTCAGCCTCTTCTGGCTCAGACAGAGTAAGACATCTGGATACTTCTTGCAGAGCCAAAACTCTAATTTGGAATCAAATGTGGTGGAAATCTTAGTAAAGAATTAAAGGCTATGCTTACAGCTTAAAAATGAAGCCTGAAGCTGCACCAAGTTGTGAAGTGATTAATTTCTCTCTCATCAAACCTCCGGGAGGTTCTGGAATGAGGTTGTCTTTTCCAGGAACTAGGGCCCTGCAAGCCCCCTCAGTGTCGTCTATCCCTCAGTAGACATATCCCTGGCTCTTCTTGGAATTTGTTTTAATTCCCAAGGGTACCAAGCAGCTGGAAGGTGAGGGCCTTGGATCCTGGGTTCTCACACACAGAGGGTCCCTGGAGATACTGTTCCTGACATGGGCTATGGTCTTTATCAGGATGGATAGTCCTCCCTCCCACCCCACCGGGGTGGCCTCTTGCCTATGACTGTTGAGTTCTGTTGTTTGAAGCCAGGTGTGAGTGGAGCCTGCCCTTCTGCTGGACACAGCCATCCTTGGCCACAGCCTAGCTAATGGCCTCCTTAGAGCCTTACCCCCACTGCCTGCTACAGCTTGGTTCTCACCACTACACTGTTGACACCTGTTTGCAGAAGTGTGTTTAAATTATTTAATGCTAAAAATCATTGTCTTTTCCTATATAAATGTTTGTTTAGCAAAGGAAAGCACAGTCTAAGCAAGTGAAGGCTCTCCACCATCCAGCCAGAGCAAAACCGTTTTCTCAACCTCAGCTTCTAGGATGTGCAGATTCCGTTTCCAGACCCTCCCATAGTGGTAAGACAGGCTAATGGAGAACACTTCTGAATAGTTTTCCTTTATAATTTACTAAAATAAAGCATCTTTTAGTGTCTGATCTACGAATGTAAAATGATTCTTTATCAATGTAAAAGATTATCTACTGCAAAAAGATATTTAAAACCTACATTGTGGTTACTTTTTTTTTTGGAAAGAGTTCAAGCAGCTTTCTGTGGGGGGTTAGCAGGGGCTTATATGGTGTTCTCTGCAGAACAGGCTGCACCACGCTCCTGCTGGCCTTCCTCATCCGCAGTCATGCCTGCCTGTGAGCACGCTCACAGCGATGGGTGGGTGTGCTTTGACCAGTACTAATCCTCTCAAGCCAGGTCCCAGAGCAGGGAGCTTGCCATGGAACAACTGATTTGAATGAATGTTCTAGGATTTGGTGGGTAGCTTCTTTTGTGCCATGAGAGATGTGCAGTATAGCCTCCTATATATGTCTCCATTGCTAGATTTAGTTCTCCCCCATTATGTTTAGAGGAATATTGTGTGTGTGTGTGTGTGTGTGTGTGTGTGTGTGTGTGTGAGAGAGAGAGAGAGAGAGAGAGAGAGAGAGAGAGAGAGAGAAAGAAAGAGAAAACTTTTGCTCATTGTAGTTTGACTAGTCTGGGCTCCCAGCAGAGAATGTCTCACAAAAGCCCCAGTGCTGGCACAGCTGTAGTGGGTCCCGAGCACATCTCTCTCACCAGCCCCTGGGCTCTGGAGCACTCCCTGGGCTGGGTGAAAAGGATGGGAAAGACCTGATGGGCAAGAAAGGAGCTTAGCGGTGACCTCCTGCCAGTGTTAGATACTTGTCACTCATTCAAGCAGATTTTATTGAGTGTCTGCTGTGGACTCTCAGCATGGGTCCCTTCATGATCCTAGACCCAGGTAGAGCTGCAGGAAGCCAGGCGGAGCATCTCCTGACAGCTTAGTTTATCTCCTATGGAAGCAGTGGAGTCCCACTCACGTCCTGTCTTTTGAAAGCAGAAGTCTAAGAAAGACTGAAAGAGAAGAGTGGGTTTTCTTGATAGCAATACCATTATTGCTTAGTGAGGGTTCTTCCCGCAGATGTAGGAAAGTGCCAGTGCAAATCTAGCATCAAGTCCCACTCAAGACTTGGATTGGGCTTCTTCCCACAGTTGGCTCCTGAGGCATTTGTCACCAGACAACTTTGCAGCCTGAGTTGGGGCTGGAGCATGAGATGAGGCATTTAAAAAATCATCTCCAAGCCTTTGGAGATTAGGAGGAAGGACAAAGGTAGATGGGTGTTGAGCATTTGCTGAAATGTTAGGATGGATGAGGATGAGGCCAACTTGGCCACTGAACCTTGTCTTCACTCCCACTTAAAGGCCTCTGTTCTGATTCGTTTTCCCACCTGAGCCATCCTCCTCCTCCTCAGCCTTTGGGCTCTGGTGGACTTGAGTGCAATGTTACTTCCCTGTCATGAAACCCCCCCTCAGTGTATAAGAACCTCTTCAATCTCACAAGCCTACATCCCAGGACTGTCCCTGCCCTTTACTTTGTTCTGTAATATTGGAGCCCGTCACTGAATACTTTGTTATATCAGCTGTCATGGCTTTTGTGGGAGGCATGTAGCACTCTTGTTAATAAACACTGTGAAATCTGAACTTTATAACCTTTAACCAGTTCTGCTTTATTTTTAAAAAAAATTTTATTGATATTTTTACAGAGAGGAAGGGAGAGAGATAGAGAGCTAGAAACATCGATGAGAGAGAAACTTCTACCAGCTGCCTCTTACACACCCCCTACTGGGGATGTACCCACAACCAATGTACATGCCCCTGACTGGAATCGAACCTGGGACCCTTCAGTCCGCAGACTGAGGCTCTACCACTGAGCCAAACCGGTTTCGGCCAGTTCTGCTTTATTTGACATGATCCTTATGAAGGGTCAAACACGTGGCCCAGTCAAAGGACTTTACATAAACAAAAGTAAGCCCTGGCCAGTCTGGATCACTGGTTAGGGCCAAAGGGACACAGGTTCGATTCCTGGTCAAGGGCACGTACCTGGGTTGCAGTTTTGACCCCTGGGAGGCAACCAATCAATGTGTCTTTCATATTTATGTATTTTGCTCCCCACCCCCTTCCCTTTCTTTCAAACCAGTGGAAAAATACTCTTCAGTGAGGATTAACACAAAAACAAGAAACAAAGTAGCCGAAACCGGTTTGGGTCAGTGGTAGAGCCTCGGCCTGCGGACTGAAAGGTCCCGGGTTCGATTTCAGTTAAGGGCATGTACATTGGTTGCGGGCACATCCCCAGTAGGGGGTGTGCAAGAGGCAGCTGGTCGATGTTTCTCTTTCATTGACGTTTCTATCTCTCTATCTCTCTTCCTTCCTCTCCGTAAAAAATCAATAAAATATATTAAAAAAGAAAGAAAGAAACAAACAAACAAACAAAGTGGCCCTGACCTTAAGTGCCCATGAGACAGTAGGGAGTGGAGACTGGCTGTCATGTTCACTACCCTGTTTCCCCGAAAATAAGACAGTGTCTTATATTAATTTTTTCTCTCAAAGTTGCGCTAGGTCTTATTTTCAGGGGATGTCTTATCTTTCCCTGCACTAGGTCTTATTTTCGGAGGAAAACACGGTAGTAAATGGGACAGCCATTCTTATTTTCAGGAAAACACGGTAGTAAATGGGACAGCCATTCTTCAGCTCCACCTAAGGCAGGGTAAGGGGTTAATGCAGGAATTCAGACCCAGTGCTGCTAATCTTGTGCTTTCCAAGAGAAGCTGGGCATGTATATATTTTTTAATAGACTTTTATTTAAAAATTGATTTTAGAGAGAGGAAAGGAGAGAGAAAAAAACATCAATGTGAGAGAAACATCCATTGGCTATCTTCTGCACATGCCCCGACCAAGGACTAAACCCAAAATCTGGGTATGTGCCCTGACCAGGAATCAAATTTGACACTTAAAAAAATATATGTGTGTGTGTGTGTGTGTGTGTGTGTGTATATATATATATATATATATTATTGATTTTTTTACAGAGAGGAAAGGAGAGCGAGAAAGAGTTAGGAACATCAATGAGAGAGAAACATCAATCAGCTGCCTCCTGCACACCCCCTACTGGACATGTGCCTGCAACCAAGGTACATGCCCTTGACCAGAATCGAACCTGGGACTCTTAATTCCGCAGGCTGACATTGTATCCACTGAGCCAAACCGGTTAGGGCAAATCTGACACTTTTTGTTGTTATTCCCCACTGGTGGATATTTCTCCCACTAATTTTAGAGAGAGTGGAAGGGATGGGGGGAGGGGGGGAGGAGAAAGAGAAACAGATGTGAAAGAGCTACATCAATTGGTTAGCCTCCCACATACATCCCAATTGGTGCAGGGAACCTGCAACCCTGGTACATGCCCTTGACTGGAATCAAACTTGGGATCCTCAGTTTGAGGGCCGACCCCTAACCACTGAACAACACCGACAAGGGCGGCATCCAGATTGTTTATGTAGAGTTACCTCATTTTTGAGGTGACAGTTTTATTGAGAGATTTACATACTATTCAACTCGCCATTAAAGTGTACAATTTTCCGGGTTTTAGTTCCAAGGTTGTACAACCATCACCACACTCAATTCTAGAAAAATTTCATTACCTCAAAGAGAGATTCCAAATCCATTAGCAGTTACTCTCCATTTTCTCCCAAGTCCTTCAGCCTCTGGCCACCACAATTCTTTTTTTTTTTTTTTTTTTTTTTGAAATATTTTAAAAATTCTTTTATTATTATTCTTTTTTTAACAAATGGCCCCAGGGATAGGGGACCAGGGGAGCAGGGAGGAGGGGAAGCGAGGCCCCAGCCCCACACCCCTCCCACCCGCCCCTTTCCCCTTATATATTTATAATCTGTATACAAGGCCTGGGGGCGGGGGGGGAGTAGGGGCAAGAGGAACTCCCTCAGCGGGGTGGAGGCAACCTAGGCTCCTTGTCTCCTCGGGACCCAGGCTCTTCTGCCCGTCAGGAAGACCCTTCTCGGGAAGGTGGCCACCACAATTCTGTTCTGTGCGGTTATCTAAATGGAGTCATACAATATGTGACCTTCTGTGGTTCTGTTCTCATTTCATTTAATATAATGGTTCAAAGTTTGTAGCATAAATCAATACTTTATTTCTTTTTATGGCTGAGTAATATTCCATATTATGAATAGATCACATTTTTCCCCATTCACTGACAGACATTCGGGTTATTCCCTCTTTTGCTATTATCAAGAATACTGCTATGAATGTCTCATTTTGAAATGTTGGCAGCTACTTATGTGAGATGTTTGGCATAGTCAAACCCACAGAGACAGAAAGTAGAAGGGAGGTTGCCAGCGACTAGAACAGGGGTGGGGAATCCCTATTATGGTGACCCCCAACCATAAAATTATTTTCGCGCTACTTCATAACTGTAATTTTGCTACTGTTAATGAGTAGTAATGTAAATATCTGTGTTTTCTGACAGTCTTAGGCTCTACAGCAGTGGTTCTCAACCTGTGGGGGTCACCACAACACGAGGAACTGTATTAAAGGGTCACGCCATTAAAAAGGTTGAGAACCACTGAGCTAATGTGCTGTCTTACTGTAGTGATTTGAAGTCAGGCAGGTCCACCGTGAGCCACAGCCCAGACAGGTAAGTTTTCCCTCAGGGGACCTGTGGGACTTGGGCACAAACGGCTGGATGCAAATACTCTCTCATGTTCTCTTGCTGGTCCAGGTGGGTTGGAATCCCAAGCTGTCATGGTCTTTTCCCTCCTACCCTGCCTCAGAAGCTCACTGACCTCCCCTCAGGCCTCAGAGGCTGTCCCCATCCCCGTTAGTGTAGGCCCCTCTAGCCCAGCTGGTGTGGCTCAGTGGTTGAGTGTCAACCCATGCATCAAGAGGTCAGGGTACATGCCCAGGTTACAGGCTGGAGCGTGTGGGAGACAGCCAATCAATGTTTCTCACTGAAACTTCTCTCTCCCTAAAAACGTATAAAAATACTTTTTAAACGACCACTTCCAATTGTTATCCTTCTTGTTCTTTGCAGCTCTGTCAGTCTGTAATTATTTATTGCATATTTGTATCTGGCTCTCTTCAAGGCATGGAGTGTAACATTTTTGGTTAGCCCTGTATTTAGAACCCAGCACAAGGTGAGTTGTCAAAGAATTCTTTTTAAATTAAACAGATGGCATGAATTTGGTAGAACCAGCACCCTTTTCCATGAGTCTGGTTACCAAGGGAAGTAAAAGGGCTGTGATGGAGATTACACAAATCCACAGAAAAGCCTGTGTTCTCTAGGTCTTTGTTCCTTTTCTCTCAAGTGAACAGGAAATGGACGGTTGCACCACCTGCCTCCCAATGCCTGGTGGACTCTACAAAGCAGGGCTGTTACTTCTTGGTTTCATTCTTAGCCTTTGCTGCAAGTAGTATCGTGTGTGTGTGTGTGTGTGTGTGTGTGTTTTGTTAATCCTCAACAGAGGATATTTTTCCCATTGCTTTTCAGAGAGAGTGGAAAGGAGGGAGGGAGGGGGGGTAGAGAGAAACATTGATGTGAGAAAGATGTCGATTGGTTACCTCCTACACATGCCCTGACCAGGGGATAGGAAGTGAACCAGCAACACAGGTCGGTGCCCTTGACCAGGAGTCAAATCGGAGACCCTTTGGTCCATGGCCCTGTACTCTAACCACTTAGCAACACCAGCCAGGGCAAGCAGTATCACCTTTTCTCAGTGATGTCCAATTATGGTGACCTGGGGCTAGAGATCTGCCACATTCCACGTGCCTTTTTAAAAATATATATTTTGCCGGGTCGGGTGCGGCCAGGCCCGGAGCAGCGGCTGCCAGGCTGGGAGCGGCCAGGCCCTTCATCACTTGATCACTGCTGAATCAAGTGATGAAGGCTTAGATCTGGATGTGTTGAGTTAGTTTAGGACTGGGGTGTTCATCTGTGAGTGCCTTGGGTGGGGCCTGGATGAGGCTGGTGGACCTATTGGGAAATGTCTTTTGTGTGAAGTGTATCATTGGGCATGTGGAGGTATTATTGATATGAGAAAATGCTAACTGATTTACTATCTGAAAAGGGATTTACTATTGGGGAAAGGGAGGGAAGAAGAGACTGAACATAAACTGCACCTATGGATGAGGACAATGGGGGATGGAGAGGGGGCAGAGGGTGGGGTGGGAACCTGGTGGAGGGGGGAAGAAATGAGGAACCTTTGTAATAATATGAACAATAAAGATTGATTAAAAAAATAATAAAAAAAAAATATATATATATATTTATTGATTTCAGAGCGGAAGGAAGAGGGAGAGATAGAAACATAAACGATGAGAGAGAATCATTGATTACCTGCCTTCAGCATGCCCTTCACTGGGGATTAAGCCCACAACCTGGGCATGTGCCCTTGACCAGAATCGAACCTGGGACTCCCTCAGTCCGCTGGCTGACGCTATATCCACCGAGCCAAACTGGCTTTCCAGCCTGCTTTGATTGACAATCACACACATTTTGAGGCTGCACCCAGGGCAAGCCCAACCCTCAATTCAAAGAAGGAATAAGCTGTCACCATTGACCTTACTAGCTTTCTGGAGATGAAGAGGGTGGGTGCAGGGATGACAAAAAGTGTTGCTCCTGCCAAAACCAGTTTGGCTCAGTGGATAGAGCGTCAGCCTGTGGACTGAAAGGTCTCGGGTTCGATTCTGGTCAAGGGCATGTACCTTAGTTGCGGGCACATCCCCAGTAGAGGCTGTGCAGGGGGCAGCTGATCTGTGTTTCTCTCTCATCGCTATCCCTCTCCCTTTCTCTCTGTAAAAAAATCAGTAAAACATATATTTTTAAAAATGTGTTGCTCCTGGCTGGCAGGGGAAGTCCTCTGTTCGCACTTCAAATGTGGAACAGGGTGGTCAGAGCCACTCCCTGGCTGTGGTCGCAGTGCTGTGTCACAACTGTTAGATTAAACGTAAAACTGTGTCCTTCCGAGCACCTCTTCGGCCCTCACAGCCCGTCACTGCAGGAGGAGAGGACTGGCCCCCACCACTCCACGTGTCCTGGTAGAATCGGTGCCCAGCAGCTGCCACCCCAGCTCGAGCCCCAGAAACAAAGCCCCTTTCTTTTGGAAGCCATCTGTGAGAACAATGGTTTTTATTTTTAAAAAAATAACGTTTTTGTAACATAAGACAGGATCATTGTGACTGTGCCTCCCCTCCCCCCGATGGCTTTGAGAGGTGGGCAGGTCACAACCTGGAAAAGTCTTCTTTGTGCTGCTCCAGCCACTGATCCAGGGTCCTGGCCTTGGGGTTGAGCCTCAGGGTCAGTTCGATGTTGCGGTCGGGTTTCAAGGCATAGAAACGGAACATGTTGGCCAGGTCCTGGGCGCCAGGGAAGCCAAGCTTCTCATAGTCCTCAGGGGTTGTCTGGGAGTAGAGGGGGGGAGGGTGTCTGTGAGGATCCATCAACATCTCAGCATCCCACTGAGGGGATTAGGGGCTGGGTGACACCTCAGTCCCTACGTAGGTCCTTGCTAAGTCACCCTGAACCATTCTACAAGTTTAAAAACCACTGTTCTAGGTCAATTTAAGATCTTGAGATGAAACTTCAGTTCCTTACAAATCAGAACTCTGTTTACATCACTTTCTTGCTCAGAGTCCAAAGCTGCTCCCCTTTCCAGATGGAATTGGATCTGAGCCCCTCAGATCCTCCACAACCTGCCTCAAGCTTTTCTTTGTTTACACAGTGACACATGGCCACTTAGGGCCTCTTTCCTAGTGCCCATCACTGCACATTTAAAAAAAAATATTTTATTGATTTTTTTACAGAGAGGAAGAGAGAGGGATCGAGTTAGAAACATGGATGAGAGAGAATCATCTATCAGCTGCCTCCTGCACACCCCCTACCAGGGATGTGCCCGAAACCAAGGTACATGCCCTTGACCAGAATCGAACCTGGGACTCTTCAGTCCGCAGGCCGACACTCTATCCACTGAGCCAAAGCGGTTAGGGCATCACTGCACATTCAAGCCGCATAACAACTCAAGCAGGGGACATTATTGACACACCCATTTCATGGATAAGGAAACTGAAGCAGAGAGGGGTCAGGGACCATGCCTCAGACTATACACTGACAAGTGTTAAGGGCAGGGACTAGGATCCAAGTCTGGGGGTGTTTATCTGGCCCCAAACTCCCATCATAACTCTGTTTGGGTCTGGGGGCTTTGCTGTCTTTTAATACCTAAGAGCGTTAATGAGATTTTCTTTAATGAGAAGGTCTTACTTTCATAATGGGAATGACAACAAGAAACCTGGGGTCTACACTGGAAGACTGTGGGCCAGTGGGGAAAGGAGGATACTGTGGGCCTCCCACCCAGCCAGACCATGTATGTGTGTGTGGGGCTATCTCTCTGGCCTCTTCCCTCTTTCCTTCAAGCCACACCCCAAAGGAGCCCAGCAGCCCTGCATTCTCACTCCTGGCTGTGGCCCCTACGGTCCCCTCTCTGGAAACCTTCCTCCCCACTTGGTCAACCACCTATGCCAGAGATTTCATCAGCAGCCATACTTGGCTCCCAAGAACAGCACAACACGGATGTTCACAGTTGTGATGAATTCAGATTTACCTTCAACTCCTGGGGGGTTGAAATGACAGCAGGGGCCAAGGGGCTCACCTTGGCATCGTGCACGGTCTTCCCAGTGTGCTTGGAGAGCAGGGCGGCATACTCCTCCGCTGTGTGCCTGCAGGTACTGAGCCCAAGGTTCTGGCCGATGTATTCTGCTGGCATCTTCAGCAGACTGAGTACCACAGGGCCCAGGTCAGCAACGGACATGCCATCCATGGGTATGTCACCCATGGGCAAGCCTGGGGGCGAAGGGGAAGAGAGACATGCTGGCACGTGACGTGTCCTGGAGGGGACAGTGGGGTAGAGTCTGGTGTTCCCACCAGCCAACCAACCGGACACCTGCCCAGATCAGCACGTGGCATGACTTAGACACTTCCTGGTATCTATGTCAGCAGAAGCAGCCGTGGAACTGGGTTGGAAAATGGGATTCAAGCCTGGCCAGCATAGCTCAGTGGTTGAGCGTTAAACCAGGTCACAATTCAATTCCTGGTTGGGGCACATGCCCGGGTTGTAGGCTCGGTCCCTGGTATAGTATGTGCAGGAGGCGGCCAATCAATGATTCTCATCACTGATGTTTCTATCTCTCTTTCTCTCTCCCTGACCCCACCCCCCTTCCAGCCCCACTTCATCTGTGAAATCAATAAAAATATATTTAAAAACAAAACGAAAATCCTCGGAGCCTGGGTTACCCCATTCTTAGAGTAGGGAGAACCCTGGACCGGCCGACCTCTCTTAGGAACAAGGGACAGGAAAGGAAAGGGGTTCAAAAGGTTCCCCAAGATCCGCTACTCTGGGGCCCACTGCTCCCAAAACACTGGCCTGAGTGTACTTGGCCATATCCTGAATTTCTCATGTGGAAAATGGGTTCTCCAAACACCAACTTTACTGACAGAAATGCTGGACCAGCTGAGGCCAGACCTGGCCCAGAGAATGACTAGCTGCCAAATTGTGATTTTGTAGATGGAAAGGGACCGCGGTGTTTAGATGTGAACACTTGGACCATGCCATTTTCCTCACCTATAAAATGGGGTCATAGCCACTGCCCATTCAGATCACCCAGGGATCTTGTGGGGATGAAGGTCTAAATCAGAACACACGGGGTATCTGACTAGCTTTGCAAACTAGAAAGGGTGGTGCCCATGTACCAACACATGGACCAGACTGCAGTTCTTGAGAAAGGGTGAGCGAGTGTTTATACACAAAGGGGTGGGGGTGGCCCGCTGAGTGGACTCACCCCTCCCACTCGGGCCTCCTGAGCGTCCTGCTCTAATCCACTGGCTAACGGACAGGCACAAGCTGTATAAGATTCCCCCAAGCCAGCCGTGTAGAGATTTGCACAGAGAAGCAAGTGCTTTCCACTTTGTGAAACCTACAACTGGGTCATGTCTTCCAAGTCCTCTCATTTTTGAAGGAGAAATAACAATAACTGCACTTGCCTCTGTTAAGCTTTCCACCAGACAAAGATTTCCTCACTGCCCCTGTGAAAGTCAGTGTTATGCCCATTTCACAGAGCGGGAAGCAGAGGCCCAGCAAGGTTCCTTGCCTTGCTTACCGTCACAGACCTAACTCGAGAGCCAGGACTCAGGCCCAGAACCACCTGAGGACAGGCCCATAGCCTTCTGCGACAGCCACAGTGCCACCCTGAGCAGGTGCTCAAGGAGGAAGGGCACTCACTCAGCAAGTAGCTCTTTCCATCCGGGGCTTTCTGGGGTAGGAAGAAGGAGAGGAGGTTCTCGAAGTAGCAGGGCAGCCGCACGCTGGTCATGGGAACACCGATGTCCCGGAAATATTCCTCCACCTCTCCTTTGCCATCAAAGTGGCCTGCCGCCAGCCCCCCCGCCGTCAGCTTCTTGATGTTCTCCAGGCCGCTGTACACCACGTAGTGAAGGCCCAGGCGCTTGGCCAAATCGGCCAGCAGCTTTCCCTGAGGGCAGGAAAGGAGGACCCACAACGCTGGGAGGGAGGGTGTGTGTCCCTACTCACATCCTAGCTCTCCAGCCCATGCAGCCTCAGTGCCGGAGGCTAAGAGCCTGACACCACTTCTTCTTCAGGGAAGGCCCCTCTTCCAGAACGATGCTCACACGTGCTATCGTATCCTTTGACACGGGATTCTAAGCCTATACCGCCCACAGAGCTTTGCATCACCTCTCCAGATCATCTGGATTGTTTATTTTCTGATGTGCTTGGCTACAGCCCACCTATGTGCAATCTGCTGCTAAGCCCTCTTCCTTGGAGAGCCCAGGATTCCACAAGGGAGGTGCTGCAGCTCAGTGGTTAAGCACGTAGGCCACTTGGGCTCCGGTCCTGGTTCTGCACTGCACTATGAGATGCTGGACAAGCGACCTAACTGCTCTGGACGCGTCAGTTCAACGGGGACCACAATACTACCTGCTGCATAAGGCTGTGTAGGGGATTGGCTGATGGCCTCCAAAAAGCTATGTCCACATCCTGTGAATGAAATCTCCTTCAGAAAAGGTCTCTCTTCAAGTATAATTAAGGAACTTGAGATGAGATTATCCTGGATTACTCATTTAACCCATGACAAGTGTCCTTATAAGGGACAGAAGAAGACACAGAGACCATGTGAAGACAGAGGCAGACCAAAGTGATGTGGCCACCAGGAGAAGGGGCAGCCACAGGAACTGGGGGAGGCAAGGCTCAACATCTCCTTTAGCGTCTCTGGAGAGAGCAGGAGCCTGGCCCTGTCAAAAACCTTGATTTTGAACTTCTGGCCTCCAGAACTGAGAAAGAATAAATTCCCATTGCTTTAAGCCACCTGGCTTGTGGTCTTGTTACGCCAGCTGTGGGGCACTAACACAGGCTATCAGGATGAGATGAGATCTGCTTCAACCAGAGAAGCTGTCTTTGTCTTCTCTATGGAATGAGCTTCCATGTAAGATGTAACCAAAGAAAGGGTCAAAGCTAAAAACAAGTTTGGAGGCCAGTGATCCAGTCCAATCCCCCTTTGCTTTACAGGAGAAAAAAGGCCAGAGCTGGGAAGTTACAGGTCCAAAGACATAGCTGTGGATAAGGCAGGACTGAAAACTGAACTGCATCACTCCCAGCCGAGGGCCTTTCCTCTGGCACCAAGTTTACCTTCCACAAAAACCTGAGTGTTCTCTGTGTGTCAGGCTCTCTGCAGTGTTTCGATATTCAATGAGACAAAAAGATGGCCATGTCTCATGGTTCCTCTCATATCCCCTGCCACCACCATCTAGGCTCAATAACCACCTAACTAGAGAGAATCCGGGTGGAAAGCAGAATAAAGGGAAACAAAACATGTCAAAGGGATATGGGGAACTTTCTGGGTAGATGAAACTATATTTTTATCAAAAGGCAATTATATGGGTTTATTTACTTTCAAATTTTATCTAACCAAGAGAATTCTAACCAATTGTCATTTTAAATTCCAGACTCATGTATAACCATTGTCTCATTTTCAAACTTTTAATAAAAATGTCATTAAAAAAATTTTTTTTAAAAAACTGCACAATTAAAATGTGTACATTTTATTATAAGAAATTATGGGTCAGTAGAGTTAGATTTTTAGAAAGTATAAAAAGTCATTGGATGACAAAGGAAATGAGTGGTTGCCCGAGGCTGGGGGAAGGGGTCAGGAGTGACTATTCACCGGTACAGGGTTTCTTTCTGGAGTGATGAAAATGTTCTGGAATTAGGCAGTAGTGATGGCTCTACAACTTTGTGAACATGTTAAAAAACAATGAATTGCACACTTTAAGAGGGTGGCCTGTATGGTACATGAATATAAAAAAGTCAATGGAGAAAACAATGGAATACTACGCTGTTGTAAAAAAGAAGGAACTCTTATCTTTTGCAACAGCATGGATGGAACTGGAGAACATCATGCTATGCAAAATAAGCCAGTCAGTGGAAGAAAAATACCGCATTATTTAAATAATTTGTGGGATATATTGAACAACATAAAGTGATGAACAAAAACAGAGACAGAGGAAAAAATATTTTAGAATATACTCTAAGTAATCCTGTTATTTGCAGATTTTTAATATTTCCTATAAATTTTGTGATATCATACTATATTAGTACAGTTTTGGTAATATTATTATACTTAAAATCATTTTTTCTAGAAATATTAATGTTTACTGCATATAATATTATATTTAAAATTGTTTTTCTTGAGATATTAAAACATTGCAAAATAAATAAATAAAGTAAAAATAAAAATAAAATAAAAATGTCACTGGATGAGAAAGCAGCCTTCTCTTACCCTCATCAAAGTCTAGGCGGGCTGCATGGAAGAGGGAAAGGACTTCAGTGTCAGGGGTCCTAGTCGGAGTGGGCCCCACAGGCAAGTTAAAGTTGCTTCCAATGAACCAACAGGGACCCGGGAGCTCCTTTTAGGATGCACTGCAACTAACCCAGCCTCCCCACACCTCCTGCCTGCCCTCACCTGCTTGACTTCCTGCTCCCGGCTGCAGTTCTCCCAGTAGTTGGTCACGATGAAGGTGGCGTGAGCTCCACTCAGGGCCAGTTTCATACTGGCCTCATCATCCTGGTCTCCCTGCACTATTTCTGCACCTTGTAGCCTCAGTTCCTTTGCGGCCTTCTGCCCAGGGTCCCGGGTTACAGCCCGAACCCTGAATGTCCCATCTTCCAAGAGAGTCCGGGCCACTGAGCCCCCCTGGGCACCTGGAAGAGTGAAAAAGACCTGAAGGTACTGGACAATATACCAAAGTCCAATCCTCGCTCAAGGCAGATACAAAAATCAACCAATGAGTGCATAAGTAAGTGGAACAACAAACTGATGTTTCTCTTTCATTTCTTCTCTAGAAATCAATCAATAAAAAATAAGTGTATAATGTAGTGACTTTTAGTGTATTCAGAGTTGTACAACCATCATCCCAGTCAATTTTAGGACATTTTCATCTCCCCCAAAAGAAATCATACCCATTAGCAGTCACTCTCCATTCTCTCCTCCATCCAGTTACTGGCAACCACTAATCTGTTTTGTCTCTACAGATTTGCATGGACTCCTTCAACATGTGGCTTTTTGTTTCTGGCTTCTGTCACTCAACATCTTTTCAAGGTTCATCCATGTTTTAGCAGCCGTCACACCTATACTTTTTTAAAAATTTAAAAAATTATGAAATATTTAGATACAAAAAGGGATAGTGACACTCATGTATCCACCACTTAGCTTAAGAAGTAAAATATTGCCGAAACCGGTTTGGCTCAATGGATAGAGCATCGGCTTGGGGACTGAAAGGTCCCAGGTTCGATTCCGGTCAAGGGCATGTATCGATACTTTGGTTGCGGGCATATCCCCAATGGGGGGTGTGCAGGAGGCAGCTGATCGATGACGCTCTCTCATCGATGTTTCTAACTCTCTCTCCCTTGTTCTCTGTACAAAATCAATAAAAATGTATTTATTATATATAAAAAAAGTAAAATATTACTTATACCTTTTCAGAAAAAAAGAAAAAAAAAGATTGGAAAAATTACAAAATTAAAATAATCAAATGGAAAAAAAAATTATCCATAAATACAGGGTGGAGCAGCCCTAGCTGGTTTTGGTCACTTTATAGAGCATCAACCCATGGACTAAAGGGTCTTGTATTTGATTCCAGTCAAGGGCATGCACCTCAGCTATCGGGGAACGTGCAGAAAGCAACCAATCTCTCTCACATAGATGTTTCTCTCTCTCCATCCCCCTTCCATTCTAAAAACCAATGGAGCCGAAACTGGTTTTGCTCACTGGATAGAGCATCGGCCTGCGGACTGAAGGGTCCCAGGTTCGATTCTGGTCAAGGGCATGTACCTTGGTTGTACCGGAATCAAACCTGGGACCTTTCAGTCCACATGCCGATGTTCTATCCACTGAGCCAAACCAGTTAGGGTTTGTAAGTTTAAGCCAAACTGACAACATATCACCAGGAAGCAAAATTTCAACAGTTTGAGAAAATGCTCTGGAGAATGAACATTTTGCAGCTTTTAAACAAAACAAAAAAAGGTCACTGATTTTTAGGGAGAGAGAAAGAGAGAGAAATTTGTTGTTGCGCTTATTTATGCATTCAATGGTTGATGTATGTACGTGCCCTGACGGGGAATTAAACCCACAATCTTGGCATATTCGGACAATGCTCTAACCAACTGAACTACCTTGCCAGGGCCTAGAGCTTATTTTATAATTAAAATTTAAGGAGTCCTGGCCAGGGGGCTCAGTTGGTTGGAGTGTTGTCTCAATTACCAGTTAGGGCTCAACCAATGTTTCTCTCGCCTGTCAAAATTCTTCTCTCTCTCCCTTCTTTTCTCTTTGAAATCAATAAACATTTCCTTGGATAAGGATAAAAAAATAAATAAAAGGGGATGTAATGAAATCCATTGGTGGTAGATTAAGGGGGTGAGAGAAAGCACAGTGGGGAGGGGAATCACTGGGATGCATAAAAAACAAAACAGAGACACATACTTCTTTTACACTGGTGGCTACAGGATAGTTAACATTTACAGCATGTAGAGGTGGTATGTGAGCAAGAAGATAAGAGTTCTGTGGTCTTCTGCTCTGGTGCTAGTTGTGCCTTTAGGGGTCTGGAAAAGATAACTCTGATATTTTAAAAGTATGTTACCTTAGAACCCTAGTACACTGCTGGTGGGAATGTAGACTGGTGCAGCCATTATGGAAAATAGTACAGAGGCGTTTCAGGGGATCAATGGGCGGGGGGGGGGGGGGGGGGGGGAGAATGTAATACTTTCAACAATAAAGAATTATTTTTTTTTAAAGTATATTACCTTAAATGAAAAAAGATAATAAATTCACTTAAGGTAGGTTGGTCAAGGAAGCTACAGTCCTAGGCCTCAACTACCTGCCATAACCTGCTTTTATTTATTTATTTATTAAATATATTTTATTGATATTTTTACAGAGAGGAGAGAGGGATAGAGAGCTAGAAACGTCGATGAGAGAGAAACATCAACCAGCTACCTCTTGCACACCCCCTACCGGGGATGTGCCCGCAACCAATGTACATGCCCTTGACCGGAATTGAACCTGGGACCTTTCAGTCCGCAGACCGACGCTCTACCACTGAGCCAAACCGGTTTCGGCAATCCCACTTTTAGTTAGGAATTTATATAACAGACCATTCTGTATGGTTATTTTTGGCCCACCATGCAGGCCTCTCCTGAGCTTGTCAGGTTAGTATGTGGCTCCATTTTCATTCACATAGATATGGGGGTTTCTTTTTTGGGGTGATGAAATCTTCTAAAACTGATCTGGGATGATGGTCACAGAACTCTGCGAATATACTAGAAACCAGTGAATTGCACACTTTAAATGAGTAAACAGTATATGAATCATACCTCAATATGTGAATTGTACTTCAATAAAGCTGTTCTGTTTTAAAATTTATACTTAAGTATACACTGAGTAGCCAAATTATTATGATCTCTGAACACATAATAATCTGGCCACTCAGTGTATGTGTGTATACACACACACATTATCTATCTATCTATCTATCTATCTATAGATATAGATATGTGTGTATGAGGCCTGGTGCATGAATTTGTGCATGGGTGGGGTATGACCAGTCTGGCCAGGGGGAGGGAACATGGGCTGTTGGCCAGCCTGCCTGCTGGTCAAACTCCTGGCCAAGGGGACAATTTGCATATTATCCTTTTATTATATAGGATATACACTGAGTGGCCAGATTATTATGTGTTCAGAAATCATAATAATCTGGCCACTCAGTGTGAATCATACATAAGTACCATGTTTCCCTGGAAATAAGGCCTACCGCAACTTTGGGAGAAAAAATTAATATAAGACACTGTCTTATTTTCGGGGAAACAGGGTATATATGTTATATGTAAAAAGTACACACACACACACACACACACACACACATATAGATAGATAGTCCCCCCCCCAAAATGTATACACACTTTAATAGCTGATAGCTCAATTAATGTTTCTTTTTAGATTTTACTTACTGGAATTAATAACTATTCAAAATGTATACATTTTTGGGGGAAGAGAGAAAGAACAGGTGGGGGCAAAATAAAGCAGTACTGTTTAAAAATAACTTAGATATTTCTCATTTGGTAGGATGCTCAGGAAACTTGGTAACAGAGATGGATGGGGTGGGGGATACAGAAGTGGGAGGGAGATTTAATGTCGGTATCATGTGCAATTACTCCTCATTTAAAGTTAATGTTTTTAAGATTCAAAGGACACCTGCGCTCAGGTCCTGTCCCCACGGCCCCAGCCGGGGCCAGAGGTCCAACCTATCTCACTCTCCCTCCGACCCCTTGGGGATGGCTCCCTGCGCTGGGGGAGGGGGCTCCTGGCTGGTGAGAGGTCCTGCGCTACGGGGGGCCTCCGATTGTTTGGGGTTCCACTTACCGGTGGCTCCAAACACCACCACTACCTTCTTGTCCGCCATGTGAGCGGGAGCGGGACACGCGGTCCTGAGAAGCTGGGGGGCGCGGGGTGGGCGGCGGGGCCGGGGGTCCTCGCCCTGAACCACGCGCGTGCACCGAGGGGCCGGCAGCCAAGGGAGGTCGGGATCCGCGGCTCCTGGCCTCACCCCCCGGCCCGACACCCCCTCCCCAGCCCGAGTCTCGGACCCTGGCCCCGACCTGCGTTACCCCCTCACCACTGCCTGGGTGGGAAACACCACGGTTAATGCGGGGGGGGGGGGAACGTTCGGGGGGCGGGGAACGGGGAGGACAACGGGACTTCGATGTTTGCAGCCGAGTCCACACGGAGAGGGGGGATGTAATCCCACGAAGGCTGCCCACCCCGGCCCGCAGCTTCATTCCTGCGCTGGCAAGGCCGCCCCTTCCCGGCCGCCCTGCACACAGGGACCTCCTAGGCGACGCGGTTCGAAAGCCTCGCCGTCCGGGTCCTAACTCCGCGCGAGCCGGCGCGCCCCCCACCCGCGGACAGAGATGGTTCATCCCGGTCCGCGCGAGCCAGCGCGCCACCCCCGCCCGCGGACTGAGATGGTTCATCCCGGAGAATCCGCGGTGATTCTGGACCCGCCCCCGCCTCAATCTCCTGTCCGGCGTGGATGTCTGAACTTGTAGATAATGGGGTGTCACCTAAAGATGGGCAAGTCTATTTCCGTGCGTTTTATCCCCTTCAAGCCCCGGAGTTATTTCTTATCTGCCTGACACGTTGAGGTTGCTGCTACTTGCCCAGATTTGAATGATTTTTAACCAGAAAAGGGAGATTTCTTTGTGCTCAACTAAAACTCAACATTGACCCTCACTCTTCTGGAAAGTTATTCTGACTGGATAAGAACATTTGCTTTTTCATTCACTCCATAATATGTATGGGTGTGGCTGTGGGTGAGTGGTCAAAGTAGGCCAGGGGATCCATGGGGTGATTCTGGGCAGGTTCAAGTTCTGCTGCTTATCAGGGCTCTGATGACCTGATGTTATCCCAAGAGGTTGATACTCATCTAAATGTTATCAAGGGCAGGTACCTTGGTTGCAGGGTCCTCCCCAGCCTGAGCCCTGGTTTGGCAACCAATATGCTTCTCTCACATAGATGTTTCTCTCTGTCTTTCCCTCTCTCTTCCACTCTCTCTGAAAATCAATGGAAAAAAATATCCTCAGGTGAGGATTAAAATATACATAAGTAAATGATGTCAGACTAAGAAACTCTGATAACAAAATACATATTCACTCATCCGGGACTGTCAGGTTTGGGACGGCAGGCATTTGTGTTCACTGCTGAATTTCCAGCACCTGAAATAGTACTTGACACAAAGTAGGCTGATTGGTTGTCTAAACATCTGCAAGGCACTGGACATGCTCATGCTAAAACTGACACTGTTTTCCTGTTTTGATAAGTTCAGGCATTCCCCAAAGAGTTCCGCTCTGCACCTGCACAGGTGTATACCAGCTGCTGGAACCTGAAAAGTAAAGAGCCCTACTATGCACCTGTGTGAGGAACTAGCCCTATATAAGCCAAACTCACAGCAGCAGTTTGGGAGCCAGGCTGTTATTAGTTGCGTTAAGTCCCCTCCCTCTTTCCTTTCCCTCCACCTTGATTCCAGTAAACTTCTAATTTTTTAAAAATGTTTTTATTGGTTTTAGAAAGAAAGGGAGAGGGAGAGAGAGGGGGAAAAAACCCACATTGATGATAGAGAAATATCAGTGGGCTGCCTTTTGCATGCCCCTGACCAGGAATCGAGTCCGAAACCCATAACCCTGACCGGAAATCTAACTGGCAACCTTTTGTGCACAGGAGAACCAAATTAAGTCACACTGGCCAGGGCTAAACCTCTAATTTTGAATCTGTTTAGCTTCCTCTCCTGATTTCTGTTTTGGGGGATGGGTGAAAGAACCTCTTTGTCAGGGACAAATTACCTGTCTCCCTTACTTGCTGCAAGTAAATAAAACTCCTTGCAACACCACCTCTCATTTTCAAACACAGCATCTTAAACAGTGAACCCCTTGAGTTCAATAACACAAATGTTTTTCTAGAATAGCTACCCAGAAGTGTAATTGTTGGGTCAATGAGAATGCCCATTCTAAATGTTTCTTCCCCATGTGAAGAAAAAAAGAGGCTACCATAGGAAGTCTGACAAGTTCAATAACTGAAAATAACCACACAGGTTGTTTTGATCATCAAAACATTCATAACTTGCCTGGCCCGTGTGACTCAGTAGCTGAGCATTGCATGAACCAGGAAATCATGGGTGGATTCCTGGTCAGGGCTCATGCCCGGGTTGGGTTGCTGGCTCAATCCCCAGTGTGGGGCGTGCAGGAGGCAGCCAGTCAATGATTCTTTCTCATCTTTGATGTTTCTATTCCCTTCTCTTCTTACTTCCTCTCTCTGAAATAAATAAAAAACACATAAAAACCTCCCACATTCCTAATTGAGTGTATTATGGTGGGAAGTCATGTCCTAAGGCATATAGGGAAATTAAAATTACTCTCTACTTTGAACAAGCCCTGTCCACGGTGTATGTGCATCTAGAAGAATATATTTAAAATGTGAGAATGTAAAGTTAAACATCCTAGTGCATTCCTCATTGTTCTCTTTCAACTACATACTTCTATAAACTATGTTAAATGTTAACTATCCTGCCTCCATCAATATAAAGTAATATCTGTCCATTTTATTTTTTACTCAATCCTAGAAATTTTACCACTTTACTTTCTTTTTTAAAAAAAATATATTTTATACAGAGAGGAAGGGAGAGAGATAGAAAGTTAGAAACATCGATGAGAGTCATCGATCAGCTGCCTCTTGCACACCCCCTACTGGGGATATGCCCGCAACCAGGGTACATGCCCTTGACCAGAATCCCAAGCCAATGCTCTATCCATTGAGCCAAACCGGTCCCGGCCCACTTTACTTTCTCCTGCTGCTTTAATCTTCCACCAATGGATTTCATGTAACCTTTCTTAGGTGTTCTCCTTTGGTTCTAATCCATTCCTATATAATAAAACCCTAATATGCAAATTGACCAAATGAAAGAATGTCCAGTTGCCATGACATGCACTGACCACCAGGGGGCAGACGCTCAATGCAGGAGTTGCCCCCTGGTGGTCAGTGCGCTCCAACCAGGAAAGTGCTGCTCAGCCAGAAGCTGGGCTCACAGGGACAATGATGGGAGCCTCTCCCACCTCCAGCAGCACTAAGGGATGTCCACTTGCTAGCTTATGCCCGGTTCTCTTAGCGTGCAGGTGGACATCCCCTGAGGGGTCCAGGACTGTGAGAGGGCACAGGCTGGGCTGAGGGATTCCCCCCACCCCCTGTGCATGAATGTTGTGCACCGAGCCTCTAGTATATAAATAAAGTGCAAAATTGCTCTACCTTGGAGAATTACCCCTGTCTTTTGAGATTTTGCTTCCAGCACTAACCCCCAATCTTTGGCTTTAATAAACTATGTAAGCTTTTCTTTAGGTTTGGAATTTCCTTTGAGGACAACTAATAACTAACAAAACCTGCAAACTTTCTCCCACACCTTTGCCAACATTGAACATTACCAGTCATTTAACCTGCCGCCAAACCCCGGTTAAGGAAATGCCTGGAACAGAAAGGACGGATGAAGCCTAGCGCGAGATGAGCCTGAAGAGGTGGTGCCATCGGGCCAGAAAAGCGCGTGTCCGGAGGAGGCCTCCTAAACACCTGCTCTCATTAGCGCTCTCTTTAGTTCACGCACAAACACCCCGACTTCCCGGCAGCCCCGGGTCCTCAGAGCGGAGCCACGTGCCCGCCGCGGGGGCGTGTCCTCCGCAGGGCCCGCCCCCGCTGCGTGCGCACGTCGGTCCGCCCTCGCGCTCCGCTCGCTCGACTGTTCCTGACAGACGCGGAGACAGCCACAGGCGGACGGACGGACGGACCTGCGGCCGGCCGGGGGGAGCCGAGGCTGGTGAGTGGCCCGCACCCGTCTGGACTTCCTGGGTCCTCGGCGGGCTCCTACCGGCGCTGGTTCTCGGGACCTGGGTCCTGCCAGCCGCAGCCCGCCGGGTCCCCGGTGCAGGCCTGAGGGAGACGCGGCGGGGACGGCAATAGCGGGTGATGGGGAAGGTGGCTGGGCGCGGGGGGATTCCGCTAAACAGACGACGTTTCCGAGGGCCGGGAAGCCTGAGTGGCCAGTTGGCGCTCGGCCTTCCCTCCTGGCGTCGCGAGTGCGCAGGGTGAGGTGACCCCGGGGCCGCCGCCGGGAGACCTGGCGCTTCCTGTGGAGGTTGCAGCCACTGACCTCCCTGCCCGCACGTCCTTCCACCGGGGCCCGCGAGGCCCCGGCCCTCACCTCCCTCCGCGTCGGAGACGGGTGCCTGGCGGCTCACCTCGAGCCCTGGCTCTGCCCTTCCTCCATGTGACTCACCTTACACCGAAGGGCCCTTTGAGTCACTGTTATGACTTCGTGAGTGACCGCGGCCGCCCCGGTGCAGAGCGCCAGATGGGGAGGGATCCGTGCCCGGGGCAGCCGGTGAATTTGGGCAGCCGGCTTACCTGTCACCTCCTAAGCACCCTGCTCCAGGTGTGTTCATTGCCCCGTAAGAGCTGCCAGGCCCGCCTTGCACATCGTCTTTGCACAAGGCCCGTCTGTCTTGCCATTTAAATTGGTCTGATGAACCGGTTTTTGTGGCCTGTGGCTGTCATCCTTATTGTGTGATGGTTATGATTCTGTGAACCAGAAAAATAAACATCCTATGGTTCAGGAAGTCCTCCCATCCTCAGCCACTTCCAAAACCCTCTGAGTTGATCGTGTTCCTACTTCTGAGTGGGGTTAGGGATGAGACTGGGGTGAAGGAAATAACCTGCATCCCACAGCCTAGACGGTGGCACATGGTCAGCTGCCTCCAGATCCCATGCTCTTTTCTCCACAAAGTAATAGAAATTGGAACTGGGTTATTTAAACTTTTCCCACCCCTTAAAATGTCTAACCAAATAAAAGGAAACAGGAACTTACTG